CGTGCCGTTTTACGTTAATAGCTTACATTCCGATAACGGAGTCAGTGAAATTTGTAATTAACAATGTTGCGCCTCACCGTATTTCTGGCCCTTTCCTCCTGGCTCGGGTAAGAAGCACATTTATCTCTCATTCTACATTATTCCATTCCTTTCACAATAAAGATTTCCCGTCGCGCAAAAGTTATTTGTCTTTGAATAAAATTAAAAATATTCGATAGAGAAGAGTACAGGAACTGAAAAATTTTAATATCAGCAATAAGATATTATATACATAATTATATTTACACTAATAATTATACTGTACTAATAATTATATTTCTAAATATAATTTTTTGCATTAATATTTATATTTATTATAATTCATATTTGTCTCATATTGCATTACATTTTATTAATGCTTTATTAACAGTGAATTTAGAATTAAATATAAACCCATTTATTTTATAATAATACATAATACTCTGCTTTTTTAATTCAATAAGAAATACGCAATTAATATTTATATTTTAATCAAGCTCTGAAAAACGCGGTATTAAATATAGAAATAAATTGAAGAGAAATTCTATTTAAAAATTGTTCTCACTGTAATTCTAAATAATTTCATTGCAACAGGCTAAATATTAATATTATCACGCTACTTATTACATAATGAATGTATGCGCGTGATATGCTTATATTCTTGAGATAAGAGTTGCATCGCGCGACGTTTTAAGTTTACTGATGTTTGACCGATACTGGCATGGAACGATATACTTGGAATAATATCCTACGTAGCAACATGTACTTTGCCACCGCCAATAAGAGTCGGGTATTAACGCTGAAACTTATCTTCACGATGATTGTGTGGGGATGCCGACAAGTGGTCCATTTTTAAGTACTTTTTCAATTCATTTCTCCGCGGATTCAACGCGTCTCACGTCGGTTAGAAATTTTCGTTTTTAGTTTCTTACATCTGCAAAAAATTGAAACATCGGTAAATATTTACATCGAGACTTTTGAAAAGAGAAAAATCATTTGCTATCGTTTGCATTCGTGTCGAGCGTTTCGTAAGGAACTTGCTTTAGTTGAAACTCCAATTTTTTGTCTCTACTTCAGGCTGAGCGCCATGGCAGCGCGAAGATCCATTACGACTACAACGTGGGGTTCTGTGAACGGACAGGAGGTCAAGAAGTTCACGCTGAAGAACCGAGCTTCTCAGGAGGTCGATGTTATAACGTATGGCGCGACGCTGACTGCCATTAGGACACCAGATAAGAAAGGAAATGTGGGAGACGTCCTGCTCGGCTTTGATAACATCGAAGGTACTCTCGTAAAGATTGCTCGCTATGAAAGAGCATTTGATAAGATGTTCGCTTCATCTTCAATTTTATTTAGTTTAAGTGATAAGAGAAGTATAACATCCACACAGCATAAAATATTTCTGAAATATAAATATGTCTAGGAAATCAGAGTTTTCGAAATACCTATCTCTTGAAATGTTTCAATAGAAATATTTCTTACGATATTTGTACAATATATTAATATTTTAATTTGAAATGTTTTACAAGTGTTTACGAAATATTTCATTAAAATATTTCACAAAAAATATTTTATGCTGTGTGAAATATAATAATTTAAAGGACAATAATTACAAGCTACGATAATTTAAAATAGTTGCAATATCAAAATATGTTAAAATATATTAAAGAATCAACAATGTTTTAAAGCGTTGAAATATCTTTCTAATCTTTTAAAACGCTTTACATAAAAAATAGTGTATAGAATATCACAAGGATGCGAATCGAAGTTACTCCGAGGAACAAGATCGTTTCGACTGAGACAAACAATCACATTTTCAGGGTACCTGTCATCGGCTAATCCGTACTTCGGTGCCACCGTCGGACGGGTCGCAAATCGCATCGGCGGGGCAACCTTCGTCGTGGACGGCCAACGTTACAACGTGTCGAAGAACTTGGGTCAGGACAGCCTCCACGGTGGTGTTCGCGGTTGGAGCTTCAAGGTGTGGGACGCTACGATCGATGGCGATCGCGTGGTGATGACTTTGATCAGTCCGGACGGCGACGAGGGCTACCCGGGAACGGTGACGGCGACGGTCAGCTTCGAATTGAAGGACGACGGGGGGCTGTGCATAGAGATGAAGGCTAGGTCCGAAAAGGCGACACCGATTAATCTAACGAATCACGCCTATTTCAATCTCGCTGGACACGTACGTAGTGCATTCCTTCTTGACTCGATGCAACAAGTATTTTGCGTCTCCCCGAGAGAGACAAGGGGCTAACGAAGCATTCTCTGATGCAACATAATATAACGCATTAAATAGAAGAAGGAAAAGATATATTTTATCGGAGAATTAGTTGCGCTACGTCATGCAGGAAAATAGTAACTGATTTATCTGTAGTTTCATTGCAATTATGTACCTCGGATACAACAATGACTTCGTTACGCAAATTAATCGATCGACCGCGACGAAGATATTACGGATCATTAACTCGTAAATGTGTTTTTCAGGCTACAAACGCGGCGGAGTTGTACAAGCATGTGTTCGTGCTGAACGCCGACCGCTGGACCGTCACGGATTCCGCGAGCATTCCCACCGGTGAGATTCGGTCGGTCGAGAACAGCGTGATGGACCTCAGGTGTGCGACGAGGCTCGGCGACGTCATCGACAAGGTGCCGGGCGGCGGTTACGACTACAACTTCTGCCTGCCGAAGCCGGCGGACCAGAAGATCCATCTCATCGCCAGAGTGTCGCATCCGGACTCGGGACGTCTCCTGACGGTGTACTCGAATCAACCGGGCGTACAGTTTTACACGGCCAACTCGATGGGAGGCGAGACTGGTATCGCGGGCAAAAACGGCGCGCGGTACTCCCGACACGCCGCTTTCTGCTTGGAGACGCAAAATTATCCCGACGCTGTGAACCACAAAAACTTCCCGAACAGCGTGCTGCGACCAGGCGACGTGTACAATCACTTTGTCATGTACAAATTTGGAGTGGAACCTAATTAATGCGCTTCCATTTTCGACTATAAACTCTCTGAAAGATCAGACGAGTATTAACACGTTGACTGCCAAATACACGTTAATTAATTGAAAATCTATTAAAAAATTAAAAAAACTCCCAGCTTTTCACACAGACTTGATTTCTGGAAGAATGCAAGTAAAAATTTTACGTTTTAACGAAAAGTAAGGATATGTTAAAATAACACGTTTATATAAAAATGACAGGAACGAAGTTATCTGATTATGTACAGTGACAGTCAGTGTGTTAAATAATGATATTAAGTAAGCTTATATTGCGCTTATCTATAATCATGATTGTATAAATAAAGACAAACATCTATAATTACATCCTCAAACATAATCTTTTATAATATAATGTATAATTAGCTAAATTTATTCAGACTTTATGTAAGTGTTGTAATCATTATTTTTTTCATATTGGAATTGCGGCGCATAATAAAGCGCACATAATCACACCTAACTAGACAACGACGGCGAGAGATTAACTTCCAAAGGATTGTGTTTCTTCTTGATAGCCGAGGAGCCGGAAATATTCTCCTGCAGCAGCCTCTCCTGCCGCTGCTGCGTAATGGGCTTCGTCGCGGGTGTGTAACGATCGGATATCCATCCCTCCACGTTGTATCCGACAAATCCGATGACAGCCACGATAGGAAGCGTAACGTATTTACCGACTTGGCCCAGGGACCTCACTATCAGGGGCCACATTTTCTCAAGCGGGAAATGCTGAAATAATGCAAAATCACTTCGGTTTATCTTCGAAAAAAATGATAACGCAAAATTGGCAAGAGTACACACATCACATACGAGGGTAGTTCGAAAACTACTCGTGTACTGTATATACTTACAAATTCTTTTCGTGCAGGTTATGTAAACATTTTTTTCTAAACAGGCTAGCCAACCCGTAAAGTCACGCGGTTTATTCCAAACTGCAAAGACTGATCACGTCATTGCCTTTGACTCATTGCCATTAGTGTCGATCCACAACATCAAATTTTACGCCAAGAGTTTGCTACAAATTGTAGCCAAATTCCGAGGTTTAATTTCTTTAATTTCTTTCCTTTAATGGTTTAATTTCTTAATATCTATAATTATTAAATTAAATCGTCAGCGCAAGCGGAATCAAACTAAATGTAAAATAAAAACTGTAAAATATAATTAAAAACGAACTCATTTATTATTTTATATTTTAATGGGATTACAAGCCTTATTGTCGATTTCAATTATTTGGCATAAATATATTTGTACAAATATTTATAATCTTTTGAAATACATAAAACAAACATTTCTTTTTCCTTCTTAGTATCTAATTATTAAATTAAATCGTCAGCGCAAGCGGAATCAAGCTAAATGTAAAATAAAAACTGTAAAATATAATTAAATACGAACTTATTATTTTATGTTTTAATGGGGCTACAAGCCTTAGTGTCGATTTCAATTATCTGGCATAAATATATTTGTACAAATATTTATAATCTTTTGAAATACATAAAACAAACATTTCTTTTTCCTTCTTATAGTATCTAATTATTAAATTAAATCGTCAGCGCAAACGGACTCAAGCTAAACGTAAAATAAAAACTGTAAAATATATATAATTAAATACAAAGTCATTTGTTATGTTTTGGCTAAACTTGAAATTTAATTGCCGATTTCAATAATCTGGCCGCATAAATAAATACTTGCACAAATATTTATAATCTTTTGAAATGCATAAAGCAAACAGCTAATCTCTTTCCTTCTCATTCAAATATTGCCATTTTTGTAGTACAGAAACAATTTGTAACATGGCCAAAAGAATAAAACTACATAAATACATATTCGTGAAAATAAACTTATGATGTATAATATAAAGTAAATAATACGGTTTAAATCTTTCTCTATTTCATTGACAATTAAAGTAACATAAGATATATTACTAAAGAATAGTAATAATATATAATTCGCAGTGTTTCTAAAAATAAATGAAATATTATGATCTAACATATATATAAAACGATTAATGCATATATTAAATCTTTTCATTGAAAAACTAAAGGAAACGCTAAAGGTTTTAACACAAGATATATTACTAAATGATAATAGTAATTTGTAATAATTGTAAATAATTTATAACATACATGAACGCTTCATGGGCGTATCTAGATTTTTTTTCGCGGGTGGAGATTTTCTCAATCCTGTTAACTTAACGCATAAATAGCAATTAAAATAATATTTTATGTGATGACGAAAAATTTACTCAAAGTTAAAAATAAACTTATTTTATAAACTCTAATTAAAAATAAAAAATAATTAAAAACTTGGGGGGAGGAAGAAAGGTTAATCTCCCAAACCCCCTTGGATGTGTCAAGACACATATATATAAAACGAATACAGATTAAAGTTCTATTTCATTGAAACAAATGTTAAAAGTTAATAACACTTTGCATTTTTTTTAGTGAATAAGTTAAAGTAAATAGTATTCATTAAAAATAATATAAAGAATTTCTGCGATAAAAATATTATAGTTAATACTGATGAGTGTAAAATGTAATTTATATCTCAATTACATTCCATAGCATCATCAGTTATCGTTATACGTTTGTCGTATATATAAATCCGTAAAGTGCGATAGGATACATGCTGCTGCAAAATGAGCTTCATTTGTGCATGAAATTCTATGAACAAATTGTGCATATTAAGTTGATACACAATAAGAAAAAGAACGAAATAAAATTTATTTTTTGAAACGACGGAAGACATGAATGTAGTAACTTACCGAGAAGTATACTGAAGGCGACACCAGCATCCTCTCGTGTGTGCCTGTCAATTGGATAGAGCGTACTGAATTTAACGCACGGCTCCTTACTCCAAAAAATTTGTAACTTTTGCCATATAGTATGACTTGTCAGTGAAAACCGAGAAGTTGGGCTAATAGAAAAAATAATATTTTTATATCAAATAATTCTTTGGTAAATGGAAGACTGGAGATAACAATATGCTAAGTCTCGTAGGAGAGAGAAACTACGCAAAATTATTACGACAAAGCAATAAAAATTTGATCCTTTAAACTTCCGATTAATGATTTTCATTCTTATAAATAACCATTTACAAAAATATACACTTAGAATATTGTTATCCAGTTTTTTTACTTGAATAAAAAAAATTCAAAATACATACCTGGTAAGAGGTTGTAAAAATTCATGTGTCGAAGAAGGACGTCGCCGTTTCTCCAATATAGATTCAATGTCTTCAAAACTTTCATCAATGTTACTTATACTTTCTCTCTGATCTCGCTTGTGACCAACGGCTCTGAAATAATTTAATAACAAGGTAAATTGAGATGTTAAAAGAATATAAAATATCAAAACGTTGAAAGGATATTGAGAAATTAAGAAAATATTGAAAAATTAAAAGATCGATTAAAACAGAATAATCCTTAATTGTAATTGAATTTCTATACCAATAATTCTCGATTGTATATTATTAGCTCTTCATTCATAACAAAAAAACTAATAATAGAAGAACATTCATAAAATAGATGATTACCTAGTGCCTCTTTCTGAAGTAGTCGGATCTGATATCGCTTCCGGTAATGGTGGCACCTCCTCAGTTTCATAAATTACATTTGCCGCTGGCAGCTGGATGTTCACGGTACTGTCTATCGTAGGTTCAGCAGCAGTTTCGGTGATCGTCTTCGCAATTGAACTCAAATCATCTTTAGGCAGATTTATTCCGCTAATCGTCTCTTCTACACGTATTGCTGAGACTAAAATTTAAATTTATTCAAAGCTCTGCATTAATATTAACATGAATATTTAACGAATCTATCTAAATATAGACATACCATGTTCATGTTGCACATCTTCGGGTACATCCTCATCGAGTACATCCTCATGGGGTACATCCTCATCTAAACTCCTAGGGTTGGCGGGGAAATCATCGAACATGTTGCGTAATTCAGCGCTCCATCGCTTAGGTTCGTGCGAAGGTTGCCTGACAAGGTTTATCGACGGTATGATCCTTCTCTTGTGTATTGACGGTATATCTAATAGACGGTTTTTCTGAAAAATAATTGAAGATCTAGTCAGATCCTTTGAAACTTCTTTTATAACATTTTTCGTCTTGGATATCATTATAAGTTCGTATACGCATTTTTTGCTTATATAATTTAGGAATTCACCTTGATATGAGCGTTCACATCTCGACGCCATTTCAAGAGCAGGTCGTTACTTAAAGTGGTCGTTTGATCGATAACTGTGGGTTTCCTTGTTGAAAAAAACCGCCTTTCATTCACGAGGTTGCTTGAATGTAATGATTCCAATTCTATGTCCATCGGTTCAACTTCCGGTTGCTGTGGAAAAACTAAGTTTACATCCTGCTCTTGTAAAGGATGTGGCAACTCCTTCTAAAGGAGCTGTCACATTCTTTACAGGCGCAGAAGGTACACTTACTGGCAGTGCAGCAGTTGCCTGGTCCTCTACAGGACTAGCAGATATATTCACTGGCAGTTCAGCAACTGCCGCATCTTCTAGAGGAGCAGGTTCTACCACAGGCTCAAGGGATAACTGAAAAATAATACATACATAAAATTATAATTAAAAATTAAACAAATACAAAGGAGCGCGAAATAATTTTTCAATTAAGAAAAGAAAATAGGATATATTTAATGAATCTGAAAACTTTCAATCATTCTGTCGTAATTTTCGTTTTTCTACTTTATAGACTTAAAAAAAATATTTATATTATAACGATAACATACAAACGATAAACATTATCGGTTATAAACAAACACTTACGCGTTTTTTCTTAGGCGTTTCCGTTTGGATCTGGCTGCCCGGAGGTGGCTGTCGTTTCTTCGGAGTCAAAGTTTTTCTGGACTTATCATGTATTCTTGATACATCCACAATTACTGGACTAGAGATTTCTTGCGACGAATATCTTTCTCGATGAACCTCTGTTTATTACGATTTAATTTAAATACATGATAATCTATCTGCAGTGTGTGTCATACTCAATATATCGTTAACGTATAATTTACCTTCAGTGATTGTAATATCTGCCATTCTATCTGCGATATCTATTCCTTCGCTGACGTGTCTTATACTCAGATCGCTAAAAAGTTTATAACAGCAAACCATATGTCATTCTTATCATTGTGTTATTATTTGTCAATTGTATTAAAGATGTAAATCAATTTTAGATGATACAAAAATAAATAAAAATCAGAGATAACTTTGCAAAGATTATTCTTGTTTTATAAAGAATTTTTACTGAATTAGAATTACGAAGTTAGCATATTATAAAAAAAGACACAAAAATTAAAAACTAACAAGAGACCCCCAGGTTGAAGCATAAGTTCTATCTCTTCGTCGTTTAAGCAACCAAAATTCAGGTTTTCCGCATCTTGCATCTGTAAATGAAAAAGATTCATTTGATAACAATCGAATATAATAAGTAAAATTTACAAGGAGCCAAAAATTTGGATATTTGGAAAGAATGTCATATTCCAAGATTTAGAAATTAGCAGTAGAGATTAAAGTGCAAATTTAATGCTAAATATATATTAAACTGTACAAGATTTTCACTTACAGCTACTTGTAGCCTGTCAACATCTTCACTGGGAAGAAGATGTAAGTCTGCTCCCAATTGAATGTTAAGAAAGTTTTGATTCGGGGGAGGCAATTGTATATCGGGAATATCAGAAAAACCGCTATCAGATAAATCAGTTGAATCAGATTTATCCTTTTTCTGTTTTTTTTTTATGTTAGCTTTAAATTTTTGTTCAAATTCAAAAGCTTCCTCTGAAAATAATAATGAGATTAGACTGACGTAAATGTTAGCATTAATAAGTAGTGGAATTAAACTCACTCTCATAGTATGCAGTCTGATAAGAGTGAATTTTCGTTATGCCGTACATCAATTGTGACGACAGATACACGCTGAATGTCTGTTGCTGAATCTCGTCGCTGATGATGCAATCAATATAAATTACAAAGAAATGAAAAATGAAAGTGGGTAATCATTATAAACATTCTGCATTGAAAGCATATAAATGAAATAACATACCAAAGTTCCACAATGTTTATCTTCTTTATGGCATTAGAACTATATAGTTTCTTGAATTCTTTCTCGCTCAGCAATGCAGCGAGCCAGCAAGGAGCTAAGTGGCCTTTTTGTCGATAGGAAAGCAGTTCAGTTGAATAGAATCTCTGACGAGTCATCTGATAAATAACAGATCTCATTAATAAGAAACAAATTTGTAGATAAAAAATCGTATTAAAAGAATATATATGGTCTGTCCCAAAAGTAATCAGACTAATTATGGAAAAACAATTTTATTGAAAATATACTTAATATTTTTCAAAGCAGGATCCTTGAGCGTCAATACATACAGCGGTTTCAGCGTCACCGCCACTCTTCGTAGCAGTGCAGAAAGTCTTGACCCGACATGCCTTCTAGAGTCACTCGTCGCGGCTGCTTGGACCTTTTTAATTGTCCCAAAACTGTGAACCATCGTTTTGGGACAATTAAAAAAGTCCAAGCAGCCACGACGAGTGTTCAGGAAGGCATGACCGACCAAAGTAGGCTTCCTTCACTGCAACGAAGACTGGCAGTGACGCTGAAACCGCTGTATTGTCACTCGAGGATACTTAGAAAAATATTATGTATATTTTTAATACAACCATTTTCCCAGAATTAGTCTCTTTTGGATTGGAACAGATCTTGTATATAAAAATAAAAAAATAATAGAAAAGCCGTGGAAAATACCTTTATTTAGGTTTGGTATCGACGACTATATTTCAATTATCTTACTGTGTGGATATTCTTGTCAAATATATGTAACAATTAATGATCTCTTTGTATTGGCGATTAATCCCAAATATCCCGATATTTACAATTGTTGGGTATGCTTCGTCCAAGTTCTTATTTTCCCTGCTCGCGGAGTGACATATGACGTACGCCTGCCAAACGGACTCTTTCCTCGCGTTGCGATTTTCGAATTGCTAAATTGCGCGCTCGGGCAGAGTATTAATAGCTCATTAGCTACAGCAGGTTACGCTTGTCCGTTTTATAACATATCCATCTCGATTATCGACATTCGTTCAGCTACAATTTTATCTTCGGTGAAAATGGGTGTAGCTACGTAGTTCCCGTTTTAAAAACTGGACGTATTGGCGCTAGTGTACAGAGGATTCTCTGATGGGTCCCAATTGTCCCAAATTCTTCTCAGATTTCTCTCTACTAAACTCCGCTTTTTAATTGACGTAGGAAAGACTCCGATTGATTAACAGTTAATTGATTAATTGACGATGCCTGCGACGAACGCCGAAGACGATCCGTACGCGCACGTTGCGAAGGGCGCCCTGAAATTGAAGAACGAGCAGACGGTGAGCAAAAAGTGAGTATTTCGCCCGGTTGTTATTCCTAGTGAGGTTAAGTTTCTCATGGATTATTGTTTTGATTGTTTACTTCGTGACCGTTTAACAAATACATTCTTTTATCTTTCTCCGAGTAAAACAAATGATTCACACGAATCATGAATGTGCGTCGCCTTCTTCTTGCAGAAAGAAGGATAAGAAGGGAAAGAAGAAGAAGCTCGTGGAAGTGTCCAAGATCGTCGAGGAGGAGGAGGAGCCTCAAAAGGCGGAGGTGAAGCGGACGAAAGCGGAGATAGCTTTTCAGAAAATGCAGGAGAAAATGGTAAGCACATATTGGACCTATTAAACACTTATCCATGCGTGTACGATTCAATTTTTAACATCAATTCTTACATTGTGTATCTGTAACGCTTGTAAATAATTGAACTTCTTGACGCTGACGAAATTCCTAACAAACGTTGCAATAATTTGCAGCAAACCGAGAGGATCAAACAGAAAGCCTCCAAGACGCATAAGCAGCGCGTGGAGGAATTTAATCGACATCTGGACAGCTTAACCGAACACTTCGACATACCTAAAGTGAGCTGGACGAAATAAACTCCGCGATGTTTCTTTGTACGTATTTTTTTGTATAAATTTATTTGTACGTATATATATATATATATAGGGTAAACAATTAGTCTTAATTTAAGTTAAAAATATATATATGAACACTTTGTATATAATCATGGCATTATTTTAATCCTTAAATACTTTCAAATGTGATTTTTCTCCTTTTTATATGATCCTTTCACTGCTTTTGCTTAAAAGAAGAATAAAAAATCTAGCATAAATGTGAAATTTAATTTAAAAAGTCAATAAATTATTAAGTTTTACAAGAGACTCTACAAAGACACTGACATGCATCTGTTAACTTTGATGCAATTATTGTATTTAAGGGTTAAATAAATCATTCTCTATACACACCATACGATAAATATAAAAGTTATTAATATAATAAAATATTACAAGAAATTGTACTTATTGTATAAGTCGTATAAAATACTCTTTAAAGTCATACATTTAATCAAATTGTTGAGTGCATTCTACTCCTAAAATCTAAATATAATTAAAGCATTTAAAATATAATTTTTTTATGTTTAATGTTATTCATTCTTATACTTATTTTCAAAGTATATTGTTCTATTAGGCAGTATAAAAATTTAAAATAAAGGTAATCAAATATTTAAAAAAAAAATATTTGAAATATTAATAACTCTGGAATTAAAGTCTCTCCCTAAATGTTTCGATTTCAAGTACACATGTAATGAAATGAATGCGATAAATGCATTCGCTTTAAGCAAGAGATTCTTCGTAATTTTTGGACGGACTGACTTTCGATACGTTGAGACATCTCGTATTATGCGTCGCCCACGTGTACGTAAAATCAAATGTGAACAGAGGTCACAAGGCACGTCATAAGCACAGAATCACAATATGGACGGATTGTGTATGTATGTACGATGCTATCGAGATGCAAACAGTTGTGAGAATCGCTCACAGGCGCGTACGTGTGCGTAATATTTCTTAAATCTTTACAGAATTACTGAACGATTTCGTTCTTTCCTGTGCAAAAGAACTAATTTACGCGTCTTTAAAATACAGCATTGCTACTAACGGCACGACAAGCAAGAGCGAGAAGCGGCTGTTCGTATTGCCGCCGTTACCAAAGTGGAAGATATTGACGTAGTTCTCCGTCTGCTCCCAGGGATTGCTTCCATCGTCAAAGTGCATCGGGCACTGATCGCGTTCTCGCTCGTATTCCTGTCAAAGGGAACATATATCAGTAAGCGTTAGTGTCACTTGGAATCGCTAATTTACATCGTTATTCGAGAGGCTATTCCTCCCCCGTCCCCTCACCTGTAACTCCAGCGCAACTGCCGCGCCCTCCGTATAATTTTGACTCGTCACGTCTTGCTTGAGATCGCAAAACGGGCCGATCGCCTGGGACAGGAGCACCCTGTTCAAATCGGCCCTCTGATACACCCAGCAGCGATACTTGCTGAAGGGATCCAATTCGTCGTACGTTATCAGATACGACTTTAAATTCTCCTTCCAATATCCGATGCATTTCATTATGTAATCCGGATCGCCTATCGTAGAAATAGTAAATATAATAAATAAATATCGTCAATGGAGCCGCACGTGCGCGGACAGCTGGGCACGCAAAACAAGTGTCAACGAGACTCACTGTAAATGTCAACCGGTTTTCCCAAATGATCCACGGACAAGCAGTACGTCTCGTCGATGGCGATCTCCTTCTGATCGGTACTGCAAACCGAGAGGTCGGATATGTTCTGTTTGCAGTAAATATTTGGTCGCGGCGATTTAGTGACGCCGCCTAGGATCCTAGTCTCGAACAGGACGTCTCCCTTTTGGTGAAACATAAATTTGCCCGCTATCGGACAGCGTACGGGTACGGGATTTTTCGCTAGTAAAATTAAAAAGTAATGTCACACGATTGCTCTGCCGGAAATACGACGGGATCTAACTCTTTATATATTATGATTACTTAAGAACAGGTCGTATTTCCACGCTTCCTTGTTGGGAAACTGGACCCAGGAACACACCGTATGGAAATTGTCTTTTATCACAGCCACCCCACGTCTGTATCGGATGATATTGTGATGTCGCCGCACGAAATCGAAACAAACGTAGTCTTTTTGGCTGCAAATCAATTTAACGTATCAACATCACAGTGCGGTTTCATGCATCTTCATAACGCGAACACTTTTTAACAAAGTCGCTTAACTTTAAACAAGAATTAAAAAAAAAATACTCCTCTCACAAAAGCGATCTTTTCTGATAAACGTACCATCCATCAACGGTCAATCTCGCCATCATTACTCTCGAGTCCCTCTGCTCGCGGCAAACGTAGATCGTTCGTCGGTAACGCCCCACGTCCGGATACCAGGTCTCGATGATGTGCGTCTCGTTAATGAAGATGTCCGCGTCGATGTTAGCGGTGTTTATCCAATTCCCGGACATGTCCTCGGGCAAACGGCAACCGGGCTCGACTACCTCGGCCTTGACCGGCGTGATCCGCAAACGTTCGGGGCTCTGCTCGACGGTCTTGAGCGTATTGCATTCGGCAGTGATCGAAACGCCGATGTACAAGTCGTCGTCGCGATTCTTCAAGAAGCATCTGTACTTCTCGTCCTTCCGCGACTCCTTCGTGTTTGCCACCGCGAAGAAGTGATTCTTGTCGACGAACCAATCGCCCAAGCAACTGTATTCTACCACTGAAAAGAAAGGCGATTTCTGTATTACATTCGTTGTAATTAAAATGTGTACGAAAACACACATTTCATCAAGCGTCTCTCGAAGGGCAAAAAAGAGGATCTAATTACATCCGTCAAAGGTGTTTTCCATTCCAGAACATTGCTTGTAAGTGATATTGAATTTCTGATTGGTTATGAGAAACTGGGTTCCCGCAGTCTGGCAAGACCTTATTTGTGCGTCCGGATGATTGCATTCTCCGGTAAATCTAAAGCGATTCTGAAATAATAGCATTAATACATAAATGAATATGCATTTTTATTATATATAATCGATGCATGTAAAGTGACACGCGATTTTCTTATCTCACTTGATAAGCAAATTGCCAGACTCCTTCCAGGGAAGATCTGCAATTCACAGGCACGTAATTCTCGGAGAATAACGTTATCAAGTGCTGGTTCGCGTTTAAGCCTCTACAGACGTTCTCCACGGTAGGTTCTGTCCCGTAGGGCAAGTTCACGCAAGTCACTGCAACAAGATAATATGACTGATAAACACACGTGGATTATATGTGTTTACGCGTCGCTACATGGATTGCTTTAACTAGATTGGCACAGACCAAACTCATCACTTGCCTTCGAGCTTCTCCAAGACGTTTACTGTCCTGACGAGCAGTTTTACGCAATGATAACAGCTGGCGATTGGATTATTAGAATCTCGAAATACGAATGTGTAATTAACATGATATTCCTCTTTCATATTTACACATATGCCTCGTCCAGTCATAGTGTTGGCATTTATTTCTGTTAAGACATTCTGGGATTCCCATGAAAACCAAGTTCCCCGAATGACCAGTGGAATTTGACAGCCAGACTGACTGACTGTCTGACCTGTGACTGCCAAACAATATTTTATTAGCGTTAATGCATGTGTGATTATATTTTTTAATATGAGTCTTGGAGTCAAGTGTATATCATGTTTTTTTTTCTTCTCTTATCTTAATTTGATGCCAAGACCAGTCGTGTCTCTTTATACATACACGCACATATATATATATATACACTCACGTAATTCTTCTTGCATAAAACAATGAGACAAATTTTAAATAAACTAAGCAAGAGCACGCACATGAAATCTCAATTTTACTCCGACTTACTTTTAACTCATTCCGACTTAAAAATGTATACATACAAATAAATAGAACGTAAATACGAGTAAATAAATGTTAAATTTTGGAATTTAATCAAGTGGAAAATATATCGCAGTAATTAGCGTGCTTGCACGTACAGTGCACACCACTCTACTTCACTTTGCAGAAATTTAAAAGGATTAACTTACCATGCCACACAAGGCACGTTACGAGAGAGAATATGCATAGCCAGCGTTTCATTGTGCTATATCATTAGAGTAACGAAAATAACGTGAAAAAATCTGATTGTTGTGGTCGTAATAATGACTGCTAACCTTTGAGGCAAACCTAATTGTAAAACACACGCCCAATACTATTAAGTACGATTTCAAAGCTACTTATGACACACTCCTTAAAGCGCGTTCCCATACGACACATTCGTGCACGTACAGTGATTGGCCGATTTGCTTACTGCTTACGTCACTGCTTTACCAGAGAGCACTATTGCCCTCTGAAGAAGTGGATTCAAATTACATAGCAAAATCAAGATTTCTGCACAATTTGTGGTGCTTGTCCGTACTAAATCCACTTTTCGAGTCTGCTGGAGCTTTATTTTCGAAAAATTACGCATTAGAAACAAATTTTTGGCTAACATGAAAAATACTTGAAAATTTAAAACAATTTTTTTTTAATTCCAGCAATTTCTTCAGAGTTCTGATAGCCATCCCCTATATATGTACATATCTGATATAATTAGGAAAAAGATGAAGCAAATAATTCGTTTTAAGGGTTTAAAAAATTATTAAAAGTATACAAAATTATTACTTTTATTTTTTTTTCTTCTATTTACGTATGCATTACAAACAGAATTATGTACACAAGAATAAATTGTAACGTCAATCATACACAAAAGCCCATTTTTAAAGAATCATATTGTGTTTATTCACAATCTAATAAATTAATATGGTTATTAATTTGATACGACATTAATACGCTTTCATTTACTTAATATAATTACGTAATATATGTGAGAAAAGGTTTAATTATAAACTATAAAAGGTACATATGTTGCGTTTATCTCGTGTTTTTCCATTGTAAATATACGTATCTATTGAATTAATTCTCAACTGAATTAGAGCTATGCGCATATAAGAAATGATCGGGAAAGTTCTACTAACAAACTCGTTTTTTGGTAGAACTTGCCATCATTCTTCAGCCTCTCAGTTAACTGGAGGATTTTCCGTGATAAACGAGACAATCAATGCTTCTGCGTGTCACTTGTAGACTCTTTCGGTTTCCGACATCGCAGTCTTACGTCTGTCTGATCTTCGACCTTCGATTTCAGCTTGCTATCTCGTGTGGGGAAATTTATAGTAGGCAAACTAATAGTTTTGTCCCCTTTATTCATCAATTCAATTAGCAAGTTCGATAACTCCTCCCTTTTCTTTGTCACGACAATTTCTTCAAACCATGTTGTTAAGGTTTTAATTGGTAAAGTATAATCTTTAACAGGATCCTATCGAAAAGGAGAAATAAACTTGTATTGACAATCACATTGATAATTTACGTAATCAGACATGTAAAAAAATAATAATAATAAAAGGTGTTAAATATATATATCTTACTTGTACTTGCCTTGAAAAAACTTTCCACATATTGTAATACATACAATCCGCAGTCAGTTAAATTCGATTGCTGAGGTACCTTTGGATACGCTCCCTTAATAGTACCTTTCGAGAATGTTTTCTCTACACCAAGCTTGGCAACATGCTCGCAATTTAAATAATCTCTCAACGCAGCGAGTACCCTTGATCTACTAGTACCACCGAGCGAATCGAATATTAATATGCACGGACTGTAAATTAAATTATTCAAATATTAAAACCACAATACATCGTATTAATTTATATATATATGATATAGACAACTGCTAACTTCTTGACAACTTCCTTCTGCTCTTCGAATTTAACATTAATTTGGGTTTTACTCTCTACCGGTTCGTCAGCTCTTGCATTCGACTCTTTCGTTTCTTTGTCCGCCCGCACAGTCTTGAGATTATCGTTTTCGCTAGTTTCTGCTTTTGGGACTGTTCCAACTAATCCAGGAAAGCAAATAATAGCCAAGAACCAATGCGAGCTGTAAACATTGTTTATATTATATTATCGTATAAAATTATTAATCTATTGCTCACATTATCGCAAGTCAATATATGTGCTATAAAACTTCAATATTTTTTCCGATGCTTTGATGGATAAAAAAAATCTTACGCTCATATTGATTCTATATTAAATTTTAAACAGGATTACTTACTATTCGTTTATAGGAATTATAATAAAATCTTTCTCAAATATGTTAACATTCTTTGTCCATTTCTGTACTCTCGCGTACCGCTTGGCAGCAGGTGTCATTGGCACGGAGCTTTCGGCAGCCTCGGCGTACGGGCTGATCAAACGTTTGTAAAAATACGAACTGAACACGTGAGTTCTATGTTGGTCCACTTCTGACAATACTTCTAGGGTCAAATACTTTAAATAAAAATCTACAATCACATCGTTCAGGAACTCGTCTTCTGCGAGACACAAGTAATCCTCAGTGTTGATGGATATTCCTCCTTTTGCGGGTGGCGGTGGATATATAGTTATTCTATGAAAAAAAAATTAGTTTATATGTATAAAAAAATTCAACTAAATTTGCAAATTTATAATTACAAACAAAATCAAATAATATTAACTAGACAATATTTTAAAGTACATTTTGTCCGATAAATCAAGTATTCATTTATTAAAAGACGAGAAAGATTATTAAATAAGATTCTTACGTTTGTATGTCTCTAACACAAGTTGTATTAGTTAACTTTTTACTCCGCTGCCGTGTAATAACGTCACTAACGGAAGTACTGTTGGCTGGGTTTTCACCCCGCTGCCGTGTAGTAACGTCACTAACGGAAGTACTATTGGCTGGGTTTTCACCCCGCTGCCGTGTAGTAACGTCACTAACGGAAGTACTATTGGCTGGGTTTTCACCCCGCTGCCGTGTAGTAACGTCACTAACGGAAGTACTATTGGCTGGGTTTTCACCCCGCTGCCGTGTAGTAATATCAATAACAGAAATAGTATTATTTAAATTTTGAATTCGCCGTCGTGTAGTGTTAGACGACGATAAACTCTGTAAAAGTAAGTAAAATATAGGTATGCACTATACAGATGTGAGATAAAATTTAATTTAACCAAATACGTACATAGTTTGGTATTGACAAGTTAAGTATAACTTTGGCTTCTTTGAAACTCAATTCCTCGATTTTATTCGGAAACAAACTTGATAGTATCGCCTTTGAATCCTCGGGTAACTTGTTTGGGAATAATGTGATACGTTTATGTACAATTTCTAAAAAAGATAATAAAAATATAAAGTATTAATCGTTTAGATTTGCTAAAAATCTTACATCTTTTCTACATGTTTGCATCGAAAATTGTGGAGATTGAATAAACTTTATAAAAAACTTTTTTAGAATAATCAGTACATTATAGAAACTATTTAATATAAAGAAGACTAATACAGAAAGTTCATATATGTCGTAAATACCTTTTCCAGCAGGATTGAAATATGGTTCGCTTGCATCTTCCATTCCTAATAACTCACGTACCATGGCTCCCGTATTTGAACGCGAATAGAAGAACAGCAGGGGCATAATTTTTCCAAAATAAATTAAAAGCTTAATTATATCTATACACTTTATATTCAGAGTAACATATTTCGTATCTGTAAAAATATTGAAATATTTCAAGGAACTTGTAAATTATCTTTCTACTAATAGATATTTTTGTTACAGATAAAATCAACCTACCGTCTTTTAATGAAAGTACGCTAAATTTAATTCCACTATGGGAAATAACAACTTTTCCCTGAGGAATACATTTGTAAGAGCCTATGTTGATACGAAGACACTCTAGAGTAATTTGTTCGATATCTAGTGGATCCTGATCTCCACATGTTCCTAAAATTCAACATTGTCTCATTATTACAAGGGATACTATATCGATATCATGTTAATTGTGAAGATCACCTATGTATCTTATAAAACATCATCTTTTACTGTTTTCTTCATTACCCATTGTAAAATCATTGTGAGAATTAGACACGTCCGCAATTGTTGACAGTTCATCCAGAATGATATCCATAGCTTCGTCAAGTGCATTACTCGTGTCTCCTGCTACGTTACTATTAATGCTTCTCAGTTTTTTCGCTCTACTTTCTTCGTCTTCTTCAACGGATGATTCTTTAAACATTCTAAAAATTAATAATTATTAATATATATATATAAACATCATGTGTATATACAGTATTGAAAATCTACGTAACGTGAACTATAGATTTTCAATACCGATAATATATCGGAGCACGGCTAATTCTTTATTATTATTATTATATAATTAATAATTGTAACAAATTGTATACATTATTATTATTACATTATATTATTATATAATTAATAATCGTAACAAATTATATACACAATTATATCTTAGAATGGGTAAATATTTACTTTCATTCGTTCTGCTTACATTTCGATAAAAGTACACAGGATCGATGTGTCTTCGCGTAAAGGGATAGATTTTATAAGAAAAAAGTGTAACTTTGTCCCGCAAAGCGAAATATTAATTGTTAAAACTTTCCACTTTTTAGGTTAAGGTATCTGTCATAACCGTCAACGAGTGCATTCGGTTTCATGCGTGATGCGCATAACGTATCGTTTTATCCTTGTTTATCATTCAGGGTAAACAAGGATAAAAAAATACATAGTGCGCATCGTACGTGATATTGAACGCACCCTGAAATGTAGCGCTTTGGTCACACGCGCATACATACATTGTCATGATCTTTAAATGCGCGAAATATAAAATATTGTAAACATATGGTGAAGAACGGAAATTTGATTTCTGTAAAGTGGTGTATGTGTAATTTATATTTAAATTGGTGGAAAATATATTTAATATATTTATATTTATGTAAATATAAAATATAAATTTCACCACTTTACAGAAATAAATATATATATATTTATATACATTTATTTTAGATTTCTGTTGTAAAGTGATGGAATCTATATTTCATTATCTTGTTTAGCATTTAATTTAATAAATTTAAAATTAAAAATAATAAGCTGAGCGATTTGTCTGATAAAACTATAAAGTTATATATTTACACACATTTGAATGAAATAAATAGATACGTACAAAAATTCTAATCTACGTTTGCTCGGTGCAGAAGAACGAAGCTCTCTGAAGGATGGCATTGCATTGTAACTGAAAAGAATATAACATTACAACATTGAGTTACGTCCTACGGGGGGAAAGGGAGGACTGTCACTATTGTTGAATTATACACACAGGCTGGAACTACACTTTGCGTGGAAATTAAATTATAAACTAATGTAGCACCACGTACGTTTTGCGTGGAAAGTTATAAATCCACGAATGGAATTTCGTTACGGAGATTTATGCTTCCGCACGAAGCGACGTTCTACTCGTGGGTTCACAAGAATTTACGCTATACTAGACAAGTCGATTATTACAGGTCGCAGTTAACAACAGCCCGTCTCCTTGATGTTGTCCTCTTGTGTTTATTTTTCTCACTGGCACAGACTGTTGCAACCAAGCTCGACAACATTAGGGCCGATATTCACGCGTGAATATCGGGTAATACTTGGGAGTTATCATCTCGATCGATCAAAAGTTGAGCATTTACGGCGCGAACTATTGTACATTTTCAAATATGAAATAAGAGCAAGGCAGTTTAGTGATTTTTAATACAAATTTATTATGAATAATAAATAATGAAAAATAAATATGTGAAACATCTCGCAATAATGGAAACTTTTTTTTTACGTATATTCTCTGTTACACATACACATATATTATATATTATTTTTCTTCTTTTTTCATGCATTTGCTGTCTTATGGAATTATTAGTGAAATTATTAAATACAATATGGCGCAGGTGTGTATATATACGCAGGTGTATACGAGCCTTCGTCGGGGACGTCGGGAGATCCATTACAATCTTGGGGGGACACGCATCCTACAGGAATAAAGACTACACCCTGTGAACCAAATGGAGTCGTCTCCGTACTTTTTGTGGCGTACTGATTTTTGAGCTGCTGATTTTCCTCAAAGAGTTTCAGGTTCGCGTAATAGAGTTGCATGTTATCCATGCTGAGTCGTACTTTCTCTTCTTCCAAGTTGTGCATATGGTCCAGAAGCATGCCTACCTCTTGGGTCTGATCAATTGGAAATTGTTGGGAACTGTTGGGAGAACACAGAGCAAGCATGCAAATTAAAATGAAAGAAGTAGCAGGAATTTGCAAGTAATTTATATCTTATTATCCTCTCTAATTTAATTCAATAATCCTCCTCATTTAATTTAATAAATTTAAAGATAGTAAGCTGAGCAATTGTGACAAAACTATAATGCTGATATATTTACAAACATTTGGATGGATAAAAATATAGATGTACGTACAAATCTTTACGTTTGCCCCGTGCGAAAGTAAGAAGCTCGCTAAAGGATGGCATTGCACTGTAACAATAGAAAAAAAAATTACGTTACTCCGAAAAGTTAAATTTATTATAATGAATTAGAGTAGGATCGGTGTGTCGTTGTTACAAATGGCACAATGGAAATTTGTGACTTACCCTGGCGCCTGTTTTCTTAGTGGTTCGACGGCTTGTTGCGGCGGTCCATTTTGTTGCGGCGATTCGGTTTGTTGCGGCGTTGTTTGTTGTTCGACTGACCTCGGCTCCGGCGTGCCGGGCATCAATTCGGTAGGAACTGCGCCACTTTTCACTCGTCGCACCAGTCGTGAATTTTTCGTGACACGTCCCCAACGTCCACGTCTGGTCCACCTCTCTTCGATGCACCCCGGCAGGAAATGCTGCTCACATATTACGACTGAAAATAACATTTTTATTAACGATGATACCTGCGTCGTTCGGGTCGAAATAAAATAATATAGAATCGATTGTGGGTTATGATTTTCTCGTAATCGATATTACGATATATAATATGATAGTGGCGTTACGAGTCAGTTTACAAATTATATTAATAATGAATAAATTCAGAGGTAGTTGATTAAATTAATATATTCTGGAATATATAAACACTCACGTTGGTAATGCACATTGTCTGACCGTTGACAGGCTTGGAGCCACTGCTTCCTCAAGTGAGGCTCTTTGGGAAACCCGTAAAATTTAATCGTACACTTTTTACCGCGAAGACTCCGCGATTTGCATTTTGGTACGCAACACGACGGCATATTGCGTTCAAAACTTGTCTCGTAATTAAATTAGTGTGAGTGTCTCGCGTGTAGAAGCGAGCAAATCAATACGATCGGAAACAGAAACGACGCAACCGGTGAATCGATGAACGATGTTATTATTTTGACGGCGCACGAATTGACAGCTCCGTCGGCAATATTGTATTTCTGCGAATGAGCTTAAAATTTGATTGGTCGACCACGTCTTCACTATAACCTTTGGCTTAACTGCGCATCCATCTAAAGTTCAAACGGGTCATCTTTCTATCTACATAAGCAAATTGACCAATCACGGTCAAAATCGCGGTCTTACGTGCGTTTTAGAATGTTCGACTGCGATTGGTCGACATGCTTACGACTTTCACGTGGTGACGATTAAAAAATTTTTGTACACCCACGGTCATCGATTCTGTCAAAGTGATCACTTCAGAGTTTGTGAAAATTTCCGAGGGACAGAATCGATGACCGTGGGTGTACATACGTTAATGCTCTTTAAACGCTCGCGAGAACAACGTTTTAACATTTACTAATTAATAAAGGATGAAATAATTTCAGGAGAATTGCGAGCGTTTAAGTGGAACGTGTATTACCTTTTATTATTTTTACGTCAATTGCGACGCCGCCAGCGGCAAAAGCCAAAAGCTACAGATTAAACGATATCTGGTGCAGGCGGTGTAGCTGCGCTAATTGAATTGGAATTTGATCGGGATGATCTTTTAAACACTTTTAACAAGGAGAAGCGGCAAGCGGTTTCGGAGTGGGGACGAGTCGACGATTATTATTTTTTTCCTCCGATATATCTTTTCATTTTTTAAAGAATAGAGTTATCGACATTTCACATGTTACTTTTAATAATCCATTTTTTCGAAAGCAATGAATGAACGCGGGAGCGGTGCGGGGTAGCTATTACTTCTATGTGAATAATGCTGACATAAGTTATGTCACCAACAAGGTGGTTATGTGCAGCTGATTCAGCTATTTTCGTCGTGTAAAAACTCCACCGTCCGAAATGTATTTAGTCGGACTGACAGGTGGCATCGCCACTGGAAAGAGCACAGTCGCTGCGATTTTCCGGGAGCACGGCATCCCGGTTATAGATGCCGATTTGATTGCCCGAAAAGGTTAGGACGGATTGCCCTTTGCCCTGTCATCGCCGACACAGATATGTTCTCAAACTTTGAATGAAACGTCATATTCTCCATATGTTATTTTTCTCCCGAACAATGTACGCGTTATTAAATATATATTTTTCAAAGTCCATTCGATACTGCAAATTCTAGTTGTGCAACATTAAAGCGAATGTCAAATTTAACTGTGCAGTAAAATGCGAAATTGAAATTTCAATAAGGTATAAAACAGCAATTGCCCAAGAATTCAAAGTGTTTTGCCGATAAATCGTTTTACATTTTGACAGAAAGTCATGTCTGTGTTTCCAGTTGTTGAGCCAGGAAAACCAGCGTGGCATAAAATACAGAGGGAATTTGGTCCAGATGTGTTTCTGGACAAGCATTTGGACAGGGCGAAACTTGGTGATTTAATATTCAACGATACGGAAAAGAGGAAGAAACTTAATGCCATAACACATCCGGATATATATAAAGAGATATACTGGGAGACTATCAAATACTTTTTACAAGGCCATCCGTTCATAGTCATGGATCTGCCATTGCTTTTCGAGACAGGGCACATGTTGAATTACTTACACAAAATTATAGTTGTAACATGGTATGTGGATTTTACTAAGTAGCTGATCATCGACAAGGCACTATTAAAAAGCAACAATCTGGAAATTTACACAACTATTTTTTTGTAGAGAATGTCTCTAATTCGAAAAAAAATCACTCAGCATAGTTTTACATCTATATTTATTTAGTCTCTAATTGTTATTTTTCATAAAGTATATCATCTTAAGCGTTTTTTTACCTTTCCTTTCTCAGTCAGTTTCAGATACAATCTAGGCTATTTTGCTTCAGTTTTGTCCAAAAATGAATATATCTAATTAATACAATTAAATTAATATAATATTGTATTAATTTAATAATACATTTAATAATATTGTATTAATTTAATACAATTAAATTAATACAAATAGATAAAACTTGTCTAAAATTGATGCTTTTAATAGTAGTTTGTCGTTAGCTAAAATAATGTATTGTTTTCCAAATTGGATGAATATACGAAAGGAATCTTGGCTCTTTTAAATATCTGTAAATTCTGATTTATCGCTTCCAGCGAAGAGGACCTTCAGCTACAACGATTAATGGAACGCACTGGATTCACAGAAGCTAAAGCGAAATTAAGAATAGCCGCGCAAATGTCATTGGAGGAGAAGGCGGAGAGGGCAAATTTTGTAATTGAGAATTCGGGCAGTCAAAGAGATACCAGGGAACAGACTGTAAAAGTGATCAACGTGTTACGGTCCTCCAAGCATCACTGGAAACTGCGTCTTTTAGTCGGATTTTGTTGTACCGTACTATTAGCTGGCGCGTACTGGTTGAAGAACAGGAGTTCTAGGGCCCTGTCCACTGCAACATGAAATTTTTTTTCTACTAAAATCATTCAATTTAGAAACGAATACACGTTTGTTCTCTGTAATTCGTAGCTGCGTAAAAGCAAATGTGAGTTTTGTAGACTTTTGTTGTAACTTTTGTACAGCAACGTATTCGCAAAATTGAAATTTTTATAAAACAGATAATTGATGAAATAAATTGTTTACCATTATGTACGCAATTGCGAACAGCAGTTACTTCTGACAAAAGCCATTGCATTTTGCAGTAAATTTAATTTTTTTTTCTATTCGGTGAAAGGGGAAAAGATTTGTGCAAGTATACTATGAGTTGTACAAATTGCAATTACGTTCTGTTACATGTAATTCTTTTATAAAACAATGTTTTTAATTGCAACATATTAATGATGGGTCAAAGGGATATGTAAGAGTTTATCTGTGTGTGCGCAAGTGCATGCATGTATGTATATTTTATGCAATAAAAAAGCTATTGTAGAGTACATAAACCTATCCTTGATGGCATGTGCAAAATAGGAAGAAACAAAACGATAATGAACGCTCGACACCTTTAGTACAATTGCTACGTCAAATTATGATAACGCTACAAATTACAATTATTTCTACCGTTTATATTATGTCGTGATCGTGAATGAGTCCAATAATCAACAACGCATTTATCAAACTAGATAAAAAGGTTGTATGATAAATGTATAAATAAAAAACGGGTAATACATGCATATATCACTGCTGTTAGATTTTTTTTAAGATAACGTGCTCTTTTTACATTTTTTTTTTATTTACTCGATAATGAAAAAATAAAATTTGCAACGATTTTGTTACTCACATAGAAGTCTCGCGCTCGCAAGTATTCGAGGATAAAAACTACATTCGTCTTTTCTCCTTTTTTAATATAAAGTGCCTTTTAACATAAATTCATACGTAAAAGATTATACACATTTGTATGCATATATAAAATACGCGAGTACATAGTGCTCAATTTCTTATGCTAATTATCGCAAAATATATACAAGTATCGATTCGTGATTAACGATTCAAAATCAGATGCACATCCATTTGGCATATACAGCGCCATGCACTGTAATATCCTGTATAATTTATACATTTGTATTGGTATATAAATGTAAATTTATAATTATTTCACCGTTCTAAACGAAAAGCTGCTTGTTTAAGTAAATCATAGAAACTGCTAAGTACTTAACATATTATTTAATGTAAATGTATATGACCGAAAATTGGCTTACTATAAGTAGAAGTACAAAAGTTTTCTCGTAAATAAAGAAGTAATGGAATACATTATGTACAACATCCCGTTACGGAATAGTAAGATTCTGCGAATCCGGACCAGTGAAGCGCGGTGTGAATCCTCTCTATTATATATATCTTTTTTTTTTAATATACTACATTTATATTATTTCTCCTAATTTTCTTTGTACTTATGTTAACGTTATCATCTAAAAGATATCCCTTATAATTTACGCTCCCGTCTTTACAATTATTATTTCAATGGTGCTCTTATATCTGCCTATCCCTATATTCTCCGACTTAGATTTAACATAGAGATGAGAGATTAATACGAGATACTACACAAGATGCTATATAATACAATAAAACGAAAAGAGTTAAAGGAACATAATGTCATGACGTAACTTTACTGTCGTAATTATAGATTGTCATTTCTGTTATTCTACAATTATACACACTTCGAACATATATATATAGCTGTCAACATTCTATCGACGATTATTATTGCATACTTTGTATATTTTATTGTATATTCTTAACGCGCTATTCACAAAGGGAAAGTGATAATTTCCTACAATCGCGACGAGAGAGATGAAGGTAGAAACGATATTTTAAGTGTTTCAAATTAAACACTTGTTTTTCTTTATCAATTTATCAATTTTTTGCACAAATGAATAGGGAGAGTACGAAAAGAATTTGGGCAGAGAGGATTGATGATTACATCAACGCAAACGCGTCTATTATCTACGGTGATACACCTCATAATTCCACAGCCGCTGGTTTCTTTCTGCGTGTACTTTCAAGTGTACTTTTTTTTTGTAAGGGAAGTACGATTTTTTTCGTAGAGGAAGATGGACGCACATTATGATCCTTGATTCGCCTACATAGCCGAGTAGGTGCTACATCGTATATGTGTACATAGATATTCCTATCGGATACAAAGTTTTCCTCCTATCCTCGTGACGACGCGACTTACAAAACGGGCCTAAGCTCTTGCGTCATAATAGGATAGGAAACGAGGGGCGCGGTCGCGCCGGATATCGACAGGGGTAAACTGGCGGGTTGCTGCGTGTTCGGTGGTTGCTGATTAGTCGCCTGAGGTGGCCCGGAGCCGCTCATCGAGATAGTCTGTTGCGCCATGGTGACAATCGGCGGCGGTATCGAGACCGACGCCATGGAGACCGCCGCGATGGAGACGGGCGTCACGGTCGCGATGCTCACGGGGACGGTGGCCACGCTGGCGGTGACCGTTCGGAGGGTGCCCGCCGCCACGGCCGCGTTGACCATCTGCTGGGGCGTCGGAGCCTGCGGCGGCGGGACCGTATTCGTGATCGTGACCGCCGGCACCGTCACGGCCGTCATGTTCGCGGTTCGCTTCCCCGACATCCTCAACTGGGCGTTTTGGTCCAGCAGGAACTCGTTCGTCGCCGTCAAGTCGCTGACCTGTAGCGAGATAGAATAATATAGAAGTGGAAGCAAAATCACGAAATATTTCGAATCTATTCGCTTCATTCTTTCTCTAATATACCTGCTTCTTTAACTCCTCTATCTTCTTTCTCAGCAGCGCGTTCTCATCCTCCAGTACAATGGCTCGTGCTTCGTTACGCGGTATCACGGGATAATAGTAGCTCGGTGTGACCGTCGGCTGAGTCGCGTGCTGCTGACCCATGATCGGAGAGGCTTCGAAGTGCACGACCGTTTCACCCGACACCAGTCGCCTCTTCGGTTCCGGCGGCCCGATGTAATCGGCTGGATGCGACGTATTGTAACCGCCGTTATTAGCGACTATATTGTTATGATGATCCTGTATTTGCCAGTGGAAGCTGCGTTCGTGAAAAAAAAGAGAAAAAAAAATTACATCAGAATTTTGCGCGAAACAAATACAAATTTTTACATAGAAAAGAGAAAGATTCATTAGACTCTCTTATCATTTACGACGCTTACTTTCTGTCATCTTCGTATCTGCGTCCGTCGCCACCGACGCCACCGCCGTTGGTGGTGCCGTTGAAGTTGTGCTGCGGCCTGGACGCGTTGTGATGCGACGGCGACATCAGATTGTGCTGCGGTTCCTCCTTCTTCATGTGCCTGAACTTGCAGTTCACCCTCTGGCAGCTGCCCTTCATGAAGTCCTTGCACAACGGATGATCCGACTTGTCGCTGTTGCAGATCTTGACCCGATTAAGGACGTGGGGCGGCAGCTCGCCGGTCGCCCTGAAACGCTTCTCCTCGCTCTCCGTGCAGTGGAGGAACTTGCAGCCCGGCCAGCTGCACTTGCCGTTCTGGAAATCGTGGCAGAAGGTGTACTCCTCCACGGGATCGTCCTCGGAACGCTCGTGCAGGTACTTGCAGCGCTTCCCCCGATGGCAGACGTTTCTCAAGAAGTCCCGGCAGATCCGGTTCGCGGGATCGGTTGAGTCGGCCGCGCCCGCGTTCAGTCCGCCCGCCATCCCGACCGCCTGTTGATGCCCCGTCGACGTGCCCACCGTTCCGCTGCTTCCCAACTTTACCTTCAGTTTTTTCATCGACGGCACATAGCGTCGATCGCACGCTCGGCGTCGGTTGTCGTCGCTTGTATCCCCTTGATCGATCGACGAGTCGGCTAAGCGTGGCTAATACGCGCGTCCCTGAATAAAGAGAAAAAAAAGAGATGTGTTGGATGAAAGGTGTACAGTGTATATTATTAGCTTCCAGGAAGGAAACTTGTATCGCTAAATACAACGTACTTGCGACAAGCCGTTGGTTCACGTTCGAGACCGCATATATATGTATATATATATATTTTACTTTTCAATTTCTACACAAACTGAAGGACGGATGTGGAAATATGACGGATATTGAAAGAGTACAAGAGACTTCTGCGACTCGGTCTTCTTTAATTAATTAAGTTAGTTTTTATTTCCCCTTTTCGTATAATGACTATTACATCGGTAGTAAGATTATATCAACATTACTATTTACAGCATTTTCATACGTACTTTGATAATTTGATATATACGCTTGATCTGCCAAGAAAGTGAGCTCGCCTAAACGAGCGAGTGCGACCGGCTTGCGGCGTATTTTTATTTTATTTTGGAAAGTGTCACGCACGCCTACTACTCGCCGCGACACACAATGATCCATTTTATCTAATGCGGTATAGAAGTAGACATGGCACTCTCTAAACTAAACTAACGAATTAAGAAAATACTGTCAATTTTTCCCGTTTACGTTTCGTATCAAAAGAATTAATATATAGAAAACTACTAGATTTGGATCTTCTCGCTTTAAGACGTTATTTAGACGATATCAAGGCCATTCCCCAAGGTAGAATCGATAAGAACGGTACTCTGAGTGCTGAGAAATTCGCTTCACCAAGAAGTAAACACACACGTATATCCGCTTATTACTTCATTTAGGTCGCTCGAACAGATATGCTCTTTATATATTGTCACGCTACCCCAATGTGTTACGTTACCGAAGGAGGGAAGGACAATTGAAGTACCATTGTGCGACAAAGGTATCGGAGGGCCCTCAAGATTCGCCGCAAGACTACGATGCGTTTTTTTTTTTAATGCGCGATCGAATTTTTTCGCTCAACAATAATGGACTTATGATCAGACGAGAGGCGCGAGGATTAAACGCTGCAACATATATATGTAATATACGCATGCCGTAATGTATACGTGCGAAACGCAACGATCGATCATCTCTCTTTCTCTTTCTCTCACCCCAACTCTCTCACTCTCACTCCCCTGCAAAGGTCATTCCCAACTCTTTGAGTCGCCTTCAACCAAAGAGTCTGAAAATAAAAAAAAAAGCGAGCCACTTAATCCGAATGGGATGGATACAATGAGAGTACGTGTCGTATTACGCGCGCGATTTCGCTTTCTACAATTATATTTATGTACAAATGTACGAGGGAAAGTTTTTGAACGATGGAAAAAGCTGAGAGAGAGAGTATAGGTATGTGTACGTATGTGTTTTGTGTTTTCGTTTTTTTTTGTTTTGTTTTTTGTTGAGAGACGCGGTATGAGAAGAGAGTATTTCTAGCCGCAGTAAAGGATACATACTTTTTAATCTTTAAAATACGCTATAGAATAAAAAAAAACAAAGAAACATTATCGTTTAAAACGAGCAAACAAATGTAACGAAATATTCGTGATTATATTTATAAAATTGAGCCACATTATGAAGATATGGATACTCAGCAGCTTGGCAGCATGTTGAACATTTTACGTGGTATCGTGCCTACATTTTCTCCCGCTACTTTTTTTACTTCCCCAGAGAGCGTAAGTCGAGCTTCCGTATTTGAGAAGATATACATACATATACATGAACGGTTCCTGCCCCGAACTTTGATCTTGCTCCTCCTTTGTATTAAGGCGCCGTTAAACGCGACCCACGTTCTTTAACACTCGCCTATCATCGCATCTGTTATACAACGAGAAACTCCCTTAGTCCCGAGACTCGATTCGGGAAATTAAACAAATATATTTATATGTATATGTATATATGTATATATGTACAAATCTTAACGAGGTTGTTCGTATAAAAAACGTTAAATTGTGCTCGATATGGTCGTCTCCAAAACAACAAAACGGGACAAAGCTTAACAAAATTTACAGTTTCAATTACAAGTCGGTATCGTAAAAAGAACGAAGTGAAGTGGAAGGAATAAAACATATTCGTCGTAGCGCGTGTAATATTTACAGAGAAGAAGAACGTTAGACGGCAGAGAGGGGGGAGGGGGGGGGGCGAGCGCACGCGCGAATTAGAATATCTTCTCCAGCAGCATCCACACGAGCATGAGCGCGATAGGCGCCACGTAGTGTATCGGCACGGTGTAAGTCGCGCCGAGCAGATCGCCGCACTGCGACTTCAGGGACATGTACTTCTTCGAGAGCTCCGCTTTCTCCTCGACGAACGCGTTGTACTTCTCCTTCACTATGACCAGCTCCTCGTTCACCTCCTGCATCCGTTGCGCATCGTTCTTCGCGCGGTAGTACAGCTCCTTCAGCCGGTCGACGACGAGCTCGTTCGGCTCGCGTATCAGCCAGTCCTTCAACTCCTCCAGCTCCCGTTGCACTATCTGCCGCGCCTCCAGGCTGTCCTCGCCCCTCAACGACTCCAGAGAGCCGATCATCGTCTGCAGCACGTAGTCCCTGGAGTGGAAAGCTTGCTGCGCCGTGTCGTTCTTCATGGCGGGTTTCAAGGTTTTAACGTAATCCTCCTCTGCGCGCTCTTCGCACTCCGCCACATCATTATCCTCCTGCTGCTGATCTTGTTTCTCGCGCTCGTCCATCGCAAAGTCGGCGACGGAACTGTCCAGAGCATCCTCGAGGGCGCTCCCTCCTGTCGAAATCTCCGACGGGAAATTGACTTTCTCATCTTTGGCAATTTGTTTTATTATTGGCTCGTAATTATGTACCTCCGACTGCTGATCGTTTTCGGTGCTCGCGAATCGCACTTTCATCTTGCAGGGTACGAATGTCTGCTTGGACGCTTCCTCCTCTTCGTCCAGCTCCTCCTTCTTATTTTCTATAACGCTCTTTTCACTCACGTCATCGTTCATAATACTGCACGTGTCGTCGGTCGCTTCCGAGTTCGTGTCGGAGTCGCCGTTAGTGTCGCTGTCCAGATTGGCGAAAGTTCCGTTGACTAAAGTCTGCCTGGACGACGGCGGCGGCAGGATGTACTCCGTGAGACTGTCGTCGGCTGTCATCTGCAGATCGTCCATCTGGTCTTTGGTAAAGGACAAATCGGACTTGAGCTGCTTCGGATCCACGTCCGTCGAATTAAACTGATTATCTTGCTCGCTCTTGGTGAAGTAAAAATTAATCTCGCTGTCCACCTCCATATTATCGACGTGAATCGAGTTCAATTTGTTGAGTATGGTGTTGATAGCTTCTATCGGATTCTCCTCGCCCTTCTCGTCGACATTCTCGCCGACCTCCAGCTTCAGATTCATATCCTGCAGGGTCTGCGCGTAATTCCTCAAAGCGGTGATCTGCTTGTAGATGTTGACGGAATCTAATCGGGAGTCGTGCAACCGCGCCCGCAAGTTCTTCTCGACCTTCGACTGATCCTCGAGCCGTTTCGTGAGATCTCGCTTCTCCTGCTCCGCGCCGAGCAGCACGTCCTTCACTTTCTCCTCGCTCTCCACGAGCTTGTTGGTAGTCTCCTGGAGCTTCTTCTCCGCTTCCGAGTACTTCGTGCTGAGCTCCTGAAGCTCCTTCTGCGTGTACTTGGCCACGTTATGCAAACTCTGGCACTCGTCCTCCGTCTCGTTCAAACGTCCCTCCAGCTGCAGCAGTCTCTGATTGATCTCCAGCTTCTCCTGTAAGACCTTCTGCAACGCCTCCTTGGCGGCGTTCTGATACTGCGCCTTCTCACCCTGAAGCTTCGTAAGCTCGTTCCTGATCTTATCTTCGGTGTAGTTCTTCGAGTAAACCGTCAACTGACTCTCGACGGTCATTACCCACGACAGCAGACGATCCTCCGTGATCAACGCCTTCCACGATTGATTGGCCGCCTTCCGAGTGTTCTCCACCAGTGTCTGCAAGTAGCCCAGCTTAGAGTACAAGGCTTTCTCCCGCCTCGACGCCTCCTGCATTATCTGATTAAGCTTGTAGAGATCCTCGAGCGACACGTTCCCGGCGGGCGAGGTGACGGAGGTGCTCAGGCTGGCCTTAGCCTCCTTCCCGTCCGGTAGATACAGCTTCAATGTCGCGACTATGCACCCGTGGGTCACCTTCTTCGTGTTCTCGACGACGTCCACGCCAAATTGCACTATATCCCCGGAGCACACCTCCTTGGGCGTCGACTCCAGCCCGGAGGCGCTCAGCCGCTGATTATTCACGAACGTGCCGTTGCTGCTGCACGTGTCCCGCAGATAAAACTTGCCGGAGGAGTACCACAGCAGCGCGTGATTTCTCGACAGCACCTTGCAGTCGAAGATCGCGTTGTTCGCCGCGGCCCTCACCCGTGCCACCGAACGGCCGATCTTCACCGGCTGCTCCAACGTCAACGTGCGCTCCTGGAAGGGATGGGAATTGTCCCGGCAGATCAGGATGCCCTTCGCGGTCATCTTGTTGTTGTTGTTGCTACCGCTGCCGCCGCCGCCGCCGTTGTTGTTGTTGTTAGCGTTATTGTTATTGTTGTTCTGCGTATTGCTCTGACTCACGCTGGAGTTGTTCTGCCCAGCGGGCGAGCTGGCATTTTGTACCCAACCACCGCTGCTGGCTACAACCATAGCCGCCGAGATGGATGGATAGACCCGAGCGAATTCGAGGAAGAAGTCCTTTCACGAGCGGTAAATCCGGACGCCCCGGTTGCGATTCCCCGGTCGCGCCGAGAAATTGTCAGCTTCGGAGATACAATCGTATAGCGATACACCGTAAAACCGTGACGCGGGCGAGATCCTCGCTTCGCTTCACGTCAGAGACGCGTGCGAGCGGTACGTGAGAGCGCGCACCTCCGAGCCCGGTCACGAGGAGCCCGACGTGACCTTTCGGGACCTGTCGGCCGACACGACGAGGCGTGACGACATCATCGTGTCCGGCATGTTTTCTTCCTCAATGAAATATCACTGCACCGCCCTCGTCCACTCCTGCCGCAGCACCTCCCTTATTTTCGTCGAGAAATTCTCACTCCCTCTCTCTTCCGATCTTTCTCCCCTTCTCTCTCACTCTGTCTCTCTCTTCCTCCTTCGATCAGCGAATGCCTCCGGAGTTCCGTGGTTTCCGAGAAGCGCCGTCTGGCAAACGTCGCGCGTCCAATCGGACACGACCCGTGTCGCTCGCCACCGAGGATCACAAGATCGGGTCAGCGAAAACGCGCGTCTCCCCCGACGTAGCGCGACGTCGTCGTGTTCCCGTTTCTCGCGGCAGGCGCCGTGAACGTGTCGCGGGCACTCTCGCTCCCGTTTCCCGTCCCGTGCGAGCAGCGGAGCCCGTCCAACGCCTCTCACTCTCTCTCTCTCTCTCTCTGGCCCACCTCGGTCGCGCGGCGCGGCCCGGGACACGCGCTGCGTCCGGCGACGTTGGCCGCGGGCGTGCGACGACCCGCGGAGGGGACGAATCGGCACGACGGCACTGGCACACCGCGATACGAACGGGCGAAAATATTACGCGTGCACGGACGACGTACGTACGTATACGGGCTCCGCGATAATACAATGGTTCGCCGTTCCCCACTGTCCGCGCTTTCCGTGTCGACTGTCGTGCGTGCGCTCCCGTGTTCCCGTTCCGCGTTCCATCCGTTCACCACGCCGCAGGCTTAGCCACGTGGGAGGGGAGGGGCGCGTGGCGCCGCATCCTACCTTATCCACCTGACGCGTCCGCTGACGCCCGCCGCAGACGTATGCGTCGGTCGCGGAGGGATCTCCGCAGAGAATAAAAAGACACCCGATTATCTACGTAATATCTTTCACATGGGAGCTTATGTAATCGCGTGTGTGAACGACGTCCGCTATATAAAATGCGGACGCGTGAAAAAAAAAACGTCCCTGCGAACTCGCGATTATTTATAAATAGACTTAAAAATTATCGTAAATGTCGCGCGACTTTCTTTTTCTTTTCTAAAATGACTTTATACATTAACGCGGATAATTCGAGTAAAAATAAATAATTCTTGGAAATAAAAATGCACTGTGTGCAAAAATTATTGTAAAAAAAAAGTTGTATAATAAATGGAGTAACTTTTATTTGCAGAATTTATTTCAGTTCGAATAATCGAACTCCGAGTCTTTTCGTCGGAAAGTAATTTTTTTCCGAAAATTTACAGGAATCGACCTTTTCAACGCGGCTAGAGAATATAACCTCTCACTTGAACTTTCAAGCAGTTAACCTAAAAGTACAAAAAAGTACGCGTCGAGTGTGTTGCGCTTCGCTGAAAAGACACGAGTATTTTTACGAGCGAATATAAATAATCGAGGACTTGGATCGTCAGCGACGTCGCGAGGGAATTTCCGAGGTGTGTTACATTTGTGATTAAAATAATATGCATGGTATGTGACAAAGTCTATTCTGTTTCCAGAGCGTTTCATATAACACTCTCCTGTAAACAATCAATTTTATTCCGGGAACGATGTCAGACGATGAAGACTATATGTCGGATAAATTTCTACAAGAAATTTCCGAACGACACGACTCGTCGAGTCTTATACACAGACATTCTGACAGAAGGGAATTTGCATTAATGAAGAAAAAGGCTGAAATTGAATCTAGGATGAAGGAGCAGAACAAGCCGATGCGAGTAGTCGAGGCTGAAAAAAGGGAGGAAGGCTTGTCGTCTGCTATTACCAGCGCAAACAAAGGTCTGTAATTTATATGTTATACGTAGAACAGATAAATTCGCGACGCGATAAGGACGTAAAAAAAAAAAAAAAAAAAAATGCTAATTTGAATTGTACGAAATAATTTCGACATTTACCTCATCCCTAGGTTTTGAAATGCTGATGAAGATGGGTTACAAACCCGGTCAGGGAATAGGCAAGACTCAATCGGGAATGACCGAGCCGATTCCCGTGGAAGTGAAGGCGGATAGACAGGGTCTGGGCAAAACGCTGCTGAAGAAGGATTCGCGCAAGCGTGGGAACGCAAGTGCAAAATTAGATAACATGAACACCAGAGATTTCCGCAGCAGGATAGCCCAGGAGAAGGCGGAGCAGCTGCAGAGGTCCGACCTGTACAAAAGTCGGAAGGTGTGTCAAGAATTGGATGCTAAGGAAAACATCGAGAAGCCTGAAGAATCGTGGTTCTGGCCGGAGAGCAAAGAAGAGAAGGAAGACGATGACGCTGACGCTGACGACGACGACGAAGACGACGACGACGACGACGACGTCGAGGACGACGAAGCTCTCGATGATTCAGAAAAACTTGACATTCTCACGAGATATTTACGAAGGAAGTACTTTTATTGCATCTGGTGCGGAACGAAGTTCAACGACGAAGACGATTTAAGAGACGAGTGCCCGGGAAGTACGAGAAACGACCACTGAACATGAATGTTAAAAATAGAATATAAAATAGGCCGTAAAAGATTATATTCGACAGCATCATATTTATACTATATTAAAAGAAAAATGATATCAATAAACTTTGGATGTCGCTAAAAACGTTCTCCAATCTTGTCGACCGGTGCGCTTCGGAACGCGATGTAACGCGCGAAAGAGCTCTGCGGGTGAAGATTGCATTACTCAAGTACGTGGTAAACCACCGGTTGTGTACACGAGACATAAAAAACCCATTAGCGGGTATGTGATGCAAAACATCGAAAAAGTAATGTCCCGGGCGAGAAAAAAAAATCACGGAACACGGAGCGAGGCTCTAAGAGCCAGGCGAGTCGTTATGTCCCTCACCCCTTCGATTGAACTGTGCTGTTACGCGGCAGCGGGGGATCGCTACGACCCTTGGCTTTTACACGCGACGGGGGAGAGGGATGAGAAATTACCCGTATAAAAGCGTCTGTCTGATTCTCTCTCCTCTCATTTCACCCGGAAACTTCCACGGCAGCTGTTTATTTAAATATATATATATAAAAAAAAAACAATGTTGGTAGCTCCAAAGTCCCTGCTAGTTCTTGCGGTCTACGTTACAATCAGCGACGCCGAGATAACCGAGGTGGACGACGAAAGCTGCGAAACTCTGCAGTCGGAGGTGCGCATCACCAAGGACGAGTACGACGAGATAGGACGTCTGAGAAGGACGTGCAGCGGCGACATAGCGGTCACCAAATGCGAAGGATTCTGCAACTCGCAGGTACAGCCAAGCGTCGTCACTACCACGGGCTTCTCAAAGGTGAGTCGAGGAAGTGATACATTCTCGCGTCGCGGAAGGAAGACGCACAAGAAATACGGCCTTTAAATAACCATTATCTTCTTTCTTCGATAACAGGAGTGCTACTGTTGCCGGGAGAGTTATCTGCAGGAAAGATTTATCGTTCTAAATCAATGCTACGATGTGGATCGGATCAAATTGATAGGCACGGACGACGAGACAATGGAAATCAAGATACGGGAACCCGCCGAGTGTAAATGTATGAAGTGCGGCGAGCTCGTGGGATAAGAGTAGTTGACAACTTGACTTGAAATATGAATGTATATTCTGTCAGCGGTGGAATTGCAACAATTATATATTATATATATAGTTATATCGATAGATAGAAAAGAAATGAAAATATAATAACGACGACGAAAATAAATAATATTTCCGATGTATTTACGCTATGAATTTACTTGCAAACCCCCCCTCCCTCCGATTATACAATGCATAAATATAAATGCACATTTCTACATGCAAGAATAATACCAGATTTTTTAAAAGTTTATTTCCTTTAACTGCACTCGTATAAATATACATGTATATAATTTTATTATTTATTATTGCATACATTATATATACACGGAGAGAGAATTTCCTTTTAAAATTTACCCTGAAAATTATGTTAATTGTGAGACAATATAGTATTTAGGTAAATTTTATTATGCACTACAATAAATTTTACTGCGAAATCTTATTGTAGTGTACAGTAAAATGTGCCTAAATACTATATTGTCCTATAATTAACATGATTTGCAGGGTAAATTAAAAAAAAAATTCTCTCCGTGTAGATAAACATTATTTAAATAAAAATGTCAAAAACTTATTTAATTTAATATTACTTATTTCATCTATCATGTGTATATATATATATATATAACATCTGTTGCACGTAATAAATATATTTAATCAAAAATATAAATTTTTCTTTAACAAAAATGTTGGCGCACAAATAGTTTGCAAATTTTTTGAGCAATTAAAATCTTTGAACTTTTACTTACTGCTATTAACATTAAAAGGCAAATTTAAAAAATTACGAAAGTATAAAATTGTTTCAATTTGTGTAAAAGAATTTTGTATCAGGTCGTTATATACAATATAAAAAGAGATTTTATTAAATTATACACATGTATGTGTGAGTGCTATAATAAATAATTCTTATGATGTATCGTTATGATTTATTCCGTCATCTATATCTTATTGCTTATAAAGCAAGTCAAAATATAAATGTTTTTCTCAGTAAGTATGATCCCTTAAAGCTTTTATTTCCGAAGTTTTAAATACCTCAAAATAGCTTAGTCCTACATTGAAATGTTTCATAATTTAATAGAGATGCAGTTAAAAATTAAAACTACTTCTTTAATATGTTTGATAAGAATTAAAATATGCTGATCTATTATTGTTTTTCAAATTAAATATGTATGAAAGTACTTTATGTGCTCCGTGTTATTTATAAATCGATCATTTTATCTTTGCCATAAAAAAATTTAATTTTCAAATTGGGCATTTACTTAATAAGTGAATAAAATTATTTTTGCCACATATTTGTATAAACAGAGATAATAACATAAAAAATTAGATACACATGTATATCGTAATGTCTAAAGCATGGAATGCGACTTAATTAACAAGAGAAAAAAATCTAGTTCGAGCACTAGGTACATATATAAATTTAGCGAACACGGTAGGAAGCATTTTCTCATGTACGTTTCTTTGCACGTATGTGTACCTATACAGTGATTTTCTGACATATATAGTGACACTGCTAAAATATAGCCGAAGAAAGGGGAAAATACGGCCACCTACGGTGTATAAAAGCTTACGACGTGGGGCCTAGCAAGCGCAGTAAAGTGCTACGAAGGGAAGACAATGTACCGCTCGCGAGGCAAGCTCGTTCGTTGCTCTGGTAAATAAAGGCTAGCGCCTAAAAGTATACGCTGGCAAAATAATTTCCTCCAGTAGCCTGTCTCGCAAATTGCAAGTAAAATAGACAACAACAAATAATAAAGTATTCGTGTAACTCTCTCTTACCGCACACGCAGTGGTCAATGGATTGCTGATATGCTTGTTGTACGGAGGCACGGAAGCAATCGTCGGGGTCGACGAGTGTCAGCCGACGAAAGTGATACACTTCCTTCAGTATCCAGGCTGTGTCCCGAAGCCGATTCCCAGTTACGCGTGCAGAGGACGATGCAGTAGTTATCTGCAGGTGAGAAATACCCCAGGATACATTAGTGACGATCGCGCGTACGGCTAAACAAGGCCTGTTTTTTTTTATAGCTGAACTGTGCTGCACTAGTTCACAGTTTATCTTCCCCTTTCTACATTGGAAGAAGAAAGATAAGCCCCGAACTAGAGTGGCCAGTTCACCTACAAAAAGACAGATCTATAGTTTTATGAATAACGGTAACGATACGATATCAAGAGTTCCGCGGACGCTTGAAAGGTTTCTTGGAAATAGTTAACGTGGTATCGCACTCAAAGTACTCGCGAGATACGTTAAGACACGATATCCTGCATAAACGTTTCCAAAAAAACTACACACAAAGACGCATTCTCCCTAAATCTTAGCACTACAAGCAGGAGTGTCGTCTCGTGCGAAGTATTATAACAAAAGAAACGAGAGCACTTTGACAATACGAGCCGCGCGGCCATTCTGATACCGCAAAATATTTTTGTAGTATTACGCCTGACGTTTGAGTCCATTATCTCTTTTTTGTCTCTCTCTCTCCATTTCTCTCGATCGCAACGAAAGAGAGAGGAAGAGAGAGAGAGAGAGAGAGAGAGAGAGAGAGAAACACGCATGTTGAGATATAAACGCGTATACGAATGTAAACGTGCGGCTCGATCGACACGCACAGGTGTCCGGGTCTAAGATGTGGCAGATGGAGAGGAGCTGCATGTGCTGTCAGGAAAGCGGCGAGAGGGAGGCCAGTGTCACCCTGTTCTGCCCGCGGGCGAAGCCAGGGGAGAAGAAGTTCAAGAAGGTGAGATCGTCCTCGGGGACCGCGACGGCGGCGGCGGGCCGCCCTCGGTCGCCCGGCGCGGCCGTCAGTCAGCCGGGCACGTAAACAACAGGGTCGCGTAAAACGTGGACGCGGTCGCGCGCGCGTACACCCCCCGCGATCGCGCGCTCGCTCTTCTCACCGATCACACGCCGACGGGATCCGCAGCAGCAGCAGCAGCAGCCAAGCCGTTCGACACCACCACGAGTTTCGCGCGGCCATATTGTTTTCGTGCGCGGCCCGACCGCGGCCAAGCCAAGCGGCGCTCGGCGTGCGCACGCGGCGCCGCGGCGCCTAATTTCGAACTGATGCCCGCTGGTATTCGACTTTGTCAATTATGTCACCTCGCCGACTAACACCCTTTCGTTTTCGCGATTAGAAATCGCGATTGAAATAAAGTATTTCTATTGCCGACGTTATTTTTTTTACACTTGAATATATAATTGGTTTCATTTAATCTCGCAATGACTACAGACTTCAGAGACGCTTGTATAGATATTCGGAGCTGTGCTCCAAATGCCAGCACACTGAAAATCATATATAGATTACGGTCACGTGCATTTATGCTATAGATTTTCAACACAGACGTGAATTTTGAAATACAGCTTTCGATATAATGTATAATAATTTAAAAACTTCTCGGTAAGGCTATTAAATTTATTTATTATTTTCTGTCGACAAATTTTTCAAGCCTGTTGACTGGCTGTATGATAAAGAGATCCGAGAATGTCCTCTGCAATCAATTATCACGCTTAAAAAAATTTGTTGTATGACGGAAAAACTGACAGAGAGTACTGACTGTAGTACCCCTTATCCCGCAAAAGGTCCAGATCGGAACTCTGGCTGATATTTTTCTCACATAGATTTAAAAGACGCTCATCAGCATATTAAAATTCCGCGTCGTGCGTTTTACCTGTGTCTGTATCACCAGGTGATCACCAAGGCGCCGCTGGAGTGCATGTGCAGACCGTGCACGAGCGTGGAGGAGTACGCGATTATACCCCAGGAGATCGCGGGCTTCGCCGACGAGGGTCCCTTCACGACGTCCGCGCACTTCAGACGATCCTCCGGCCTGCGATAGAAGAGTACCGTTCACACGAGGATTGCGATCTCGTGAAATCGCGCGTACTTACTACATACGGAAAACGCCGATATATCTTATTCATTATATTATATATTATGAAAACTAATAAACAGAATCTCTAAGGAACATATCGATCTCTCTCTCTCTTTTTCGGTCGAAGGAGATTGGTTTTGAACGGGTGCATGTTTTAGCCTTCACGAAATTCCTCCCTCAGTCCCTCGGAAATGTAATATGCTGCTGTTCATCGATTTACTAAGTTTCCTTTTTTTGCCATTTGAATAAGAGTTACAAGGTCGATCCATTCATTTAATTGCCCACGACACGAGTTTCCATGTGTGCTTTTCGAATCCTGAATTCTTCAGTTTATCCGAAGAAGGTGCGTCTGCAATGAATTCGGAAAAGAATCGTTGCGAACAGGAAGATAAAGAAAAAAAAAAAACTTTACGATGATACAAGGTTCGGGAAGGGATAGAAATGTAGAACAGGAAACGTTACAGATGCAGACGAGAGCATCGTAACGCTCGTAACGCTCCGAGCTGAGAAATCATGAAACATTGCACAGACTCTGTTAATATACTTAAATAATAATATATATATTTACATACAATATATAGGTATGCTCCATGTAATTTCAATCAAGTCTGTAAGCGATTCGTCCGTGTGTGTTTCGTATTTCGAAAAATTGTAGATCAAAGGACTTTCCTGACTGATGACGATTTCTTTTTCCTTTTTTGGGGGGAGACCAAAGCAAAGACTTTGCATATACTTTCACAAAAGTATATCCCGTACAGTCGGCACGTCGTCTATATATTTCTCGCGAAAACGTTATCTCGCAATTTTCTTTCCCCTCGAGTGTGGATACCCTTTTATAGGTACGGATAAATCATGTGGTATCGGCACTTAACGATAGTTGCCGGATAAACATAATAATCCCTTGATAGCTGTACACGCACACATGCACACAGAAGATCAGTCTCTCCTATATACGAGCACGTTCGAAACAAAGGCGAGCTCAACGCTGTACCTCAAATCAGTTTTTAATAACAATTTTATACAATTCGCTACAGCATTAGCCACGTGGATACACACCAATGTTCCCACGCTTTGCTCTCTCTCACGCACACTCATTCTCTCACGTTTTCTTTCTCTCTTACTCCCTGTGATTATAAATAGCTAGTGTTAAAAAATAGTACCTTAATATATATATATATATTTATATATATATATATATATTTATAAGTATATATATGTATATATATATATATGTATATATATATATATTTATATGTATATATGCACACCATTTGTAATCTTTCGTTTTTTTTTCTAACTTCAACGTGTTCTAGATTACAGATCCTAACTCCGCAATATATATTCCTTCGCTTTCGCTCTATCCCACATCTCGTCTCGTGTTTCAATGTGAATGTCCTTTTCTTATAATATAATACATTATAAGTTCTTATTTGCAAAGATATAAATTAGTAATTCTGTTTATATTATACCGTATTCCGTTACAATAATAGGAAGAACCATATCGCTGTCAGTACTATCAGACTTGGTTTTATCTCGGTAGCTGTTTTTCCCAATCATTTTCCTTTACCTTTTCCGAATTCCTTTTTATTCCACGCGAAATTGACCTACTCCTCAGATTGCATATTTCCGATCTGCAATTTGTTTATCTAAATCGTGTAACAAGCACTTCGGTTTGTGATCCGTGATATTAGCGTTTAATATAATTGGAAGTAACGTTGAGTCTTCCCCGATTCCAAGCAATGGAAAAAAGACGCATTATTTTCCGGTTTCTATTGAGCGATCGACCTACCGCGCGCTGCAAAGACATTTTACATAAGAAACACGGTAATTATTTTTTCGAGCCTTTTTTTTTTGCTTTATTTAAACTTTGAACCATTTTATTGAATTATATATAATAATTATTTTGCATAGTTCTGTAATAATTAATAGTTAAACTTTATCTTCATTATGTATACTGTATTTCAAATACAGCTGTCGTGTTTATTTAGTCAGCACTCTCACTTCTCCTTACTCATTGGTAGAGAGTCGTTGGAGTTATAGATTATATTACATACATTTACGTGTCACTTCATTGTTATTTACCATACCATTCCTTCCTTCAATACTTGGGAGCGTTCCTGCGTTCGCATTGTTTTACGAAAAAAAAACACAACTGCAATTTGATTTCGGGCGTTGTATTTTCCTTTCAACGGGGAAACGCGTATTTGAGTCTCTTTAATAGACGATAATGCAATCGATCACAGTATCGTCAACAGCCCTGGTTCGCACTAGTTGATAACTCTTCGACACTGGAATTATCGTCCGGCTCTTGCAGATCGGTGAAAAATGACGTGAGCGCGACGATTGAGACGCTATGGCCCTCGACATCCGCTCCTTCCGGCACTTTCATTTTCCACGTCAGGAACGCGTCGCTTGATATCACATTATCCATCCACAATCGATTCATAATGGGAACGAGGGTACCTGCGATCAGAAATTGTCAACATTCAAATCTCGCACGTTTTACATCCCCTACATTCACAAAAAATAAAATATATAAGCGTATATATTTTATTTTGAAAGAGATATGTTAAAAAGTAACGCAGAACACGTCGCTGTTACGTGCAACTAATAAAACATTTTCACGAACTTACCCGGTGGAAACTCGATCTTCTTAATGTATCTTTGAATTGCATAAAGGCATTGTAATTCCAATAATTCGTTCGCGTCGACAAACCGTTGAATCAACGTTTGCAAACTCGCAAAAGTATCTAGGTTTAGCTTCCAAGTGCCGTGATGTCGTTCTGCAAATACAGAAGGAAAAACAAAATTTAGAATATCGGTATAAAAAATTTCAAAGTAATTGATTCTACAAGTCGTGTCAGAATCCTTTTGGCTAAACAACACAAAGATAATTCACAAGATATTATCTTTACTCTAAACAAAATGTTATCATCATGCTTATTTTATATACTTTTCTATTACATAAAAAGCCATATAACAGAAGTCATGACAAAATATTTCGAAAAACAGTGTTACGATACATACCTAAAGTAGTTTCTAAGATGGCAGTCATTAAATGTCTTATAAACTTGGGATCCTTCTCTCTACTACCAATATTTGCCTGAAAAAATAAGGTGAATGTGAGAATATCGATATAAATAACTAACAAGTCAATTATATTGTACTTACAGTTATCCAACTACAAATTTCGTCGAAAGAAGTATTTTCCTTCATGAGCCTTGTAAGATTTTCTTGAATTTTCTCTAATGGGAGTTGCTCGGTAGCAGTGGAGTCTTTGGCACTATTATAATCACCAGTTAGAAACTCCAAATTCTAAAAGTAAGAACAGTAGAACCAATAAGATTGCGCGAGCATAGGACGAGATTACTGTCTTAATTACTTTCAAAACAAGATTGAGATACATAGTGATACAATATATATGCACATTAAATCTTTTTTTTTACATAGAATATAGATAAGCAAAGAAAATAAATAAACTGGTGTTATGCATTAATTTGGAACTGATATTTTATTTAATAAATGAAAAATATTAGTGAAAGTGATGAAAGATTGAATGAGAGAGAGAGAGAGAGCTAGATAGATTAGTAAAGATAGAGGGAAAAAGACAATAACTTATGTAAAATAGGAAAAATACGAGAAAGGTTTTTGACATTGAAACTGTAATACGTAAATTCACAAATAAATAACGGGAAAATAGATCCAAGTATTCCTTTTTACATTTCTGTTTAATTTAAATTTAGTTCATCTTTGTCACATACAGTAGCATGTTTTACATATTTAGTGGATTAAAGAAATTAGAAAATTAAATTGAGGGATGTGTTGTAAACAATCTTGTATATATAAATATTTTACATATACTTACATAATCTTTAATTATTATATCGGCATTTTCTCGTTCCGGATCGATCAAGTTACTCAGTTGAAGTCCACTTTGGTCCCATTTATCGGCAAGCCATTTAGGCCCTTTGTTACGAGATACTTTTGTCAGAAGTTCTCCAAGGAATTTTCCTATGAAGCCTTGCCTTCTCAACCTTATACATATACTCTTGAATTCAGATAGAGGGATAGCTCCGTCCTCTATCGAATGTGCTGCAACACAGATTGTCATGCGTGTGAAATTGATTTCAAATGAATAAGGACGAATGAATAATTATATATTTCTTCAGTCCTGTTGAGCTAAAAATATACGCGCACGGCATTTTTCTATGGCGTAAAATGTAATCGTCATCATGCAAGAAAAATTTTTATCCGTATCTTAACATCACGCGGTTAATCCGCGGCAAAAAGATATGCATGTTTTTTACTTACACAGTATTTCGGCTAGATAAGTCCAAATTTTTGGTATATCAATAACCAAATCATCAACGATTTCAAGAACTTCTCCCAATCTAAAATAGTATTTATTTGTATTTGTAACAAGTTTAATGAAAAAAACTTCGCATTACAAGATTAAATTTAATACAAATAACATCAGAATCCTTTTGGCATGCTTAACACAAAGATATTTTTTAACACAAAAATATCTTTAACTCTGTATAAAAATTTTCATCACTAATATGTAATTTACTTATTTTACTATTTGTAATAATTTTCTGTATAAACAATGAAGAAAACCTACCCATTCTTGAAACATTCCACAGGTAGAATATTTTTCCTCAACAAATGTGACAATAACTTCGATATTAAGTCACGTTCTAAGAAAGATTTCTCAAGAACGTGATGTATACATTCGCGAGTTAGTTTCGCGAATGTGGCATTGTCAAACTTCTGTTGAATTTCCATTCCCGTATTCTGCAAGCAAAAATACATGTGCGTTAATATTGAATTCTCGGTGTCGAGAATAATCGTAAGAATAATCTTCTTTTAGAAAATATCTTGTCCTCTTTTTAGTTAATGTGAGTAGCATGAAATATCGTTATCACACGAAACCAAAAAGAAGGTATTGCCTATTATTGCACGCCAATGACTCAAACATCTCCTATTGAACCAGAGATAGATCTAAGGAGCGTGCGCTGTTTTATTGAAAATATTTGTGCCTTGCTAAAGTACGTGTGTGTTTATATATATATATAGTGTACACACATACGCGCGCGCGCGCGCGCGCGTGGATACATTTTGTAATATACAAATTTTAAACTTTATGGGAGAATGCGTGGCTCCGTGCAAAAACGGTTGTTTCGTAGCCAGCGAATTCCAGGTTCGATCCCGACTTATCCCACGTACATTACGTCACGCGTTATCCCATAAAGTTTACACCAAAGTGGAGCTTCGAATTTTAAGTTCAGTGGGAACTAGACCATTGTTCTATACAAATTAGACAACTTACTTCAACAATCGGCTCCTCCAGATAATGTTTCAATATGGAGTTGTACGCCTTCGTGAATTCTTGCTCCGACATCGGAGCCTTGTGACTTATAGCCCCAGATTGAGAGGCCGACTTCATTACAGGTTGAAGCATCGAGGTACTTCGTTGAGAGTCCAATAATGAGTGACTCTCCCTCGATGCACTGCCCGACTGGTGAGTGCCGTTACGGGAACTTCTGCCGTCTGTAAAAAACGTTTCTTGCGTAAGAATTTTTAATTTAAAGAAAATGTTTCATGATTACATTATCACATAAAATAATTGAGATGTTCATGTCTATACGTCTAAAAAAAAAAAGAACGTACCATACGACTTGTAATCTCGACTGCACTCTCTTGGACCAGTTGATCGCGATCTGAAATAAACAAGATAAAAACGTATAAGCACGGTTGTTGAAGTTCTTCTAAATTTAACAATCAAGATTTGTAATACATCAGAATTCATTTGTAAAATCATGTAAGTTTTAGAAGATTCATAAACTCTAGTCTGTTTTAATATCATCATACTGAAGCACGAAGCAAATGTGGTAAGTTTTGAAAAATGAAATCAATTCTTGTTCGAGAAGCGACTTTTCGAGAACGTGATTAATAATACATATGCGTGTAAGTTTAACAAATGAAGCATCATTAAATTTGAGATTAATAAAAAGGCGAAATCCAAAGCAAACCTGTCTAAATGAAAAATGTGACTTACCCAGAGAGCGGTAAGGGCGGCATCCTCTTGTCCTGATCTAAGTTGGACATATTCTCTAAGCACGCAAATTTGTTGGAACTTATCGTCTTAGAGTTGCTGGCGGGAGGAGCAGCCCTCCATAAATAGGACGCCCTGTTGCCGAGTTGCATGTCGTCCATGGGTGGCTATTGTTGAAAAAGACAGTGCTGACATTTATGGAATAAATAGCTCAAATCTTAAAAATAGTTCAATTTTTTTAAATTTTTATTTCATGCACATACATCATCTTAACCCTTTCTGTGTTGAATACTTTTAACAAATGTATCCAAATGCATTGAATATTTTACCACCTGTAGCAAGTTAAATACCGCATACCGAGTTAGCGTTAAATATTTTTTACAAATACAGTTTGTCATGATTTCTTCTCATATAAAGATTCTATTGAATATTTTGAAAATATAATTTAAACAGTTTTAAAAGTAATGTTCGCTAAATAATTACATTATTAATTAATTATATTACTTTTAAAATTGTTTACTATATATTGGACGACAATGTAAAAAGTATGCTTATTTCATTTCTAGGATGTGTTTATGCCATATATCCATGACTTCGAAAGAATTAAACTTATTTGTGTGTGTCTCATAATTGTGATTGAGGAAAAATTTATAATTAACAAATTTACAATATAAAATTTTGTAATTTTTTTTAAATATGTACCAAAATGACAATACTGAAAATAAACGTATGGTACTGCAGATCTGTAACATAAACTGATGAACTGTTTTATACTGTCATTACATTTCGGAACACATGTTTTACTGATATCAATTGTTTTCTGTCATTATTTCGTACAAAAATGTTAATACAAATACAGATATGTTATAGGAAAAATGGCGTGCGCGCAATGCGCTCTTTGCTAATGATTCTATAAAAAAAGAAAAAAATCCTACTATATGCGATAACTAACCGGTTTATTCTTCAATTTTGCTGTTTCTACCGAATACGCCGCAGGTCTCACTCTTCCTACTGGTTGACTCCAACCATCGTCAGTAGGACCTCCTAGTCCACGATTTCTTTTTCTATCGTTATTACGATCGTCTTTTCGCGCAGTACTCAATGGAGTTTCTACCAGTCTTTCAGATTCCGCTTCCTTTTGTATCTGGTCTATCGTTTTAGGATTATTCTCATTTCTCCTCGGAATCCATTTATTTGCCCTCAAATCGATAACATCTTGAAGCATAAATCGAATTCTAGAACTAATTTTGCTCTGGCCTTTTCGAACAACAATCTCTTGCATTCTACTAAAGTATTCTTGCATCTCCTAGGGAAAAAAAACAATAAGAAATTAATTTAAATAATATATATCACCGCCAATAAATACTTTCAAATAGACAGACATTTCAATTGGACATGCATAAGAACAGCGGTTTTACCTCAGCAGGTCCTCCTTTCAATTCCAAATCCTTGCCAATCGTCGTTAACAATTTGCATAGACATTCCAAATTATCTTCGTCGTTCTGTTCTAGTAAATGACGAATACATCGGTGCATGATTTTCGTCGTCAAGATCTGCTGTTTGTACAGCTCACCGATAAATCTAAATGAATAAAATTTGAGAAAATCACGATTTTGTAAGAACCTCATAGTATTCCATAATATCTGAATTTGCATGATAATGCAAAATCAAAAATAATTATAATATATTATTTTTATACAGCTAAATAAAGCGATTTAAACATCGTAAATGATATCTCGAGATGTGTTGGATAAAAAAGTTACTCACCTAATATTTCCTACAGATTTAACTCGTACCCTACGCTCCTTTTCTTCGAGTCCCAACAGAAGCTCTTTCTTTTTCTCCTAATAAGGACAGTGAAATAGATATTCAAGTAAAATAGTTTATTGAAAAGATTTTTTAAGTTGAAAAACAAAATACATATCATGCAAGATATTTACCGGATCGTTACACTCCTCAATTTGTTTTATCGTTACGTTCCTTTCTTCATCATCTGGAGTCCTTTCGAATTCTTTTTGGCAACGCGTGATAATAAGCTTCTTGAAGCTAACGGAACTACTGTCTTGAGTATCGGGGCCGGCGACTTCCATCATGGCCAGTTCTTTGCACAGCAACGCGTACTCGACGGAGAAGCTGGGCTCGTCGACGGCCTTCTCAAAGACCAGATCGATGACTCCTTGCAGACGCTCTTGCGTATCGATCGGCAAATGTCGAACCTGCTCGACTAACGTGTTGAACTTTTGCGGAGTGAGTTTGTTCAATACACTTCGTACTCTCTTATAGAGGGCCATCGTTTTCTCGTCTTCCTCAGTGGTGTTGGTCGCCTTCAACCTCGTCGGTTTCCATGCATTCTCCGTTTCCCTCAGTTTCACGTCTTCCCTTAACGACAGCGAAACGTGAATAACATTTGGCTTATTCGGTTTTGGTTTGCCCCGATCGCTCTTACGACTTGTTGGTGGCTGTAAAACACGAATACGTCTCATCGATATCACGCATCAAAGCTGCGACATTCAATAGAGTAACGTGATGTGGAAAGGTAAACGTTTCAATCAGAAGATATGTATTATTCGTCAAAAGATTTCAGACCACTACTTTCGTCGTGCGGCATCATTTACTCGTTCCTTCCCTCCCGTAAAAGAAAAATACGATCCACAAGCATTTTACTTTAATTCTACTTACCGGACGTGTGCTCATATTCGTCTTCGCAAATCCTGGCATTAACGAATCGTGCCTGGTAATATTTGCGTCCTTGAAAGCCCTCAGGTCCATAGTATTATGCGTATTCTGTACAAAACAAGCGTGGACGTAAGATAAAACAATAGCTGCGATACGTGCAAAAATTAAATTACGGGAAGAAACAAGAGCATGACTCATTTTACTTATCGTACCTGCAAGCTATCTTTCAAAACAGCTTGTAAATTTGGTAGATTAGCTGGCTTCAGTTTGCTGTTGGGATCGAACTGCAAACGCAACAGGAAGTCCCGGTCGTAGGACTTCCTACCGCTCATGTTGACCGGACTCCACTGACCCTCTTTGTACAAGTACTTGAGTAACGGGGTCTTATTAACGCTAGGTGCGGCGATTTCGGCCGGGACGTTGCCGGTGCCGCTGGAATCCTCGACCTCCTGCTGCTGCTGCTTCTTCTCCGTGATCACCGGCGTGACCGTCGTCGCTTTCTCGTCGTTGGACGCGTGGAGCGCCGACACCTTGAAGTTCTCCTCATTTTTCTGCGCGACCATCGCCTCCAGGTGCATCTCCTCGTTGACTATCGCGTGATCGACGACGTCGTTGGGGGATGTCGCGGGAAGAAGCGCATTAAACGCGCCGTCCTCGGACTTTATCGAGGATTCCTTGCTGGCCGGCGGCTTGTCCGCCGTGACGTGGGACGCCTGTTGCGCCGCGGGAGCGCCGTCCTTAGACAACACCTCGGTGGTCACGTGCTTCTCGGTTTTCGCTTCCCGGTGAACCGGCAGAATCTCCTTCTCCTTCTTCGACTCGTAATTGTCCTTCTCCTTGATATCCTTGCTAGTTTCTCTATTGGGTTCCTTGTTACTGTCTTTCGGGGCGGGAGCGTGCTGCTCCTTGTTGTCTTGCTTGATCTCCGCTGTTTTCGCCGCTGATACGGTATTTACAAAAGCATCCATGTCCGTGCCTTCCTTCTCTGCGCCCTTGCGATTCAGATCGCGGGGTTTCAATTTATTTTTGCTTTTCTGCTTCTGCATAGCTTTACCTGGAGAACGGAAAGAAAGAAACACCGTTGATGAGACACGCGCTACAGCTTGTACGAAAATACGAGGATCGCGGGAAAGGAGGAAAAATCGCGTTGTACAAATTTGGAGAAACGCGCGTCGCGCAATACATTCGATGGATCTACTACATTTAGCTTATCAGTATCCATCAGTATCCTATTGACGCATAACGTCCTTCTATGCCAACGCATCCTACGCCGATCAAAAGCCCGAGAGAGGAAGGAACGAAAGCCACTCCGGCGCTTGGCTCGCTTCCTTCCCTCGTCGCGAGCTTTCCTTCGAGGTGGACGAGTTCAGCGACCGAGTTATCTCTTTCTCTGATTTTTAGGAGCTTCTACTCAACGGAGGAACGACGTTCTCGGCGCGTATCGACGCGTATCGGCGATACGTGCCAAGTCGGGAACGGCGCTACTCGCGTACCGTGGTCTCGGGATCCCCGTCGATTACGACTTTTGGATCTCGTGCCGCTTCTGGCACGGCTACCGCCGCGGCCGCCGCAACCGCCGCCGCCGCCGCCGTCGCTCGTTCTTCGGTCGCCCATGGTTTTTTCGCGTGTGTTCCGCGCGCGCACGTGCAACTCTCACATCTTCGGATGGCTCGAGTTTCCGCGGACGCGCACGCGGCACTGATTCAGTATTTATTTATAAACCTGCCAAATCCTTGCCAAACGCGGCGTAGTAGATGCGACACGTAAACGCGACGGTGCGCAGAAACGACAACGGGAAAAATTGCATCCTCGGCGAGGCTCTCTCATCGGCGCGACGAGACTACGACGACGTTGTCGTTGTTGTTATCGTCGTGAGCGAGCATATGGCGATCTCGTTCTCGGGAGGGCCGCGTCGATCGCGATGGCATCCGGGGCGGTCGACGACGCTCGGGTATAGGAATTCGCGTTCAACTCGCGATCAGGGGAGGCTCGGGCTCTCGATTCGGAGGAACGTCGCCGCGTCGACAATGACGAGGAGGAGGAGATCCGCGCAACGAGCGTCAACAGCGTCCGCGAACGATTGTCCCCGACTGAAAGACACTTCGGAAAACCCTCGGGGGCCTGGCCGGCCGCGACGCCCGACGACTTTCACGCATCTATTTTAACCTGTGAACTGGCGCAAACCGACAGAGGCACGACATAGGATTTCTTAAATTAGTTCCGTTCGGTCGGTTTTGCACCGGAGCAGGCGCACTGCGCGCAATTTCAACGGCTCGACCTAACCCAAAAGCGCTCGCGCGCGCATCCGCGCGCATAAATATCGTCCGGATAAAAAAATCCCCCCCCCTCCCTCCCTCCCATGTATGTGCGCGCCGTTCGTTTATTCGTCGCGATCTCTCGACGGGAGATGGAGAGTTCCTCTCCTCCCTGTCGTCGTCGTCGTCGGCTCGATCGAAATTCACGCGGCGAAACGCGCCGATTCTTCTCTCCTCTCCGATCGATGAATCCCTCTTGGCGAGCCACGAACCGGCTAATTAATCGAACGTGGGCGATACGTTCACCACCGTCCTCGGTCGTGAATTCGAGATTCTCGATGCACGAAAGTAGGTTGGAGTCGAGTTTTACAAAAGCAGGTCGTGGACCGTTCTTCCGTTCCTCTCCTTTTTTTTCTCTCTTTTATAATACATGTTACGTTCTTTTTAAATGCGAAAAAATTTAATTTGTCTTTTCTTCTCTTCGAAACGTTACGTTTAAAGTAGTCGAAGTGCGCGATGAGGAAATAGCATCCTAGAGCGTCTCATATGTCAATAAATAGCGATTCATTCATCGTTCGCTCCCTCTCCCTCTCTCACTCTCTCTCTCTCCCGCTCCCGCGAAGGAGATTCGATTCTCGCGGCGATAAATAAAAACTGTGAGAAAACGGTGAGAGAATCGGCGCATCTGAGAATGCGATGACGCGCGCGATCGTGGATTTCGGGAGGAACGAATATAATTAGATGGGCTCGCGCGGGGATCGTCTATCGCCGTCGAACATCGACGGAGCTCAAAGAGCATCGCGCCTGGCGACGGAAAAAAGTTTCGCGCGTGCTGATACATCCCGTCTTTACTCCGATATACGTTTTATCGCGCGCCAGTTACGAGACGGCTAAGAATCAACGTCTTTTTTTTCTCCTCCCCTCCCTCGAGAACGACGAAAAATGATTTCGCGTCTTTCTCGATGCAAAACGAAATCTGAATGTTTCACGAATGTGTCCCCGAACTCTTCAAGTGTTAAAACTAAAAATACCACGGTCTGTGAAACGCGTGCCGCGGAAGCGTCGGTTTTATAACGCAAAAACGTTCACCAAGTCGTAACGCGACCCTGATTTGCAAGCGTGCCCGTTATTAATACTATTGACTGTGAAATTACTTTCCTCCTTGCATTTCCTTATCGGTACAGTAAAGTCAGCGCGAGTGACATGTGACACCGTCCGCTCTTTTTTTTTATTTTTTTTTATGTACATTAACCACGAAACGCGAGTTCGTCCCGAAGTGCTCGAAGAGCAAAAGGAGTGTCTCGACAAAAGCAACCCTTTTCTTTTGAATATCGAAGGGCCCTGCTCTGTTCTCGTTGAGAAAACAGCTGCGCGGGCGCCGCGTTTTCCGAGGTTACGCGCCGACTTTTCTCACCGCGCCGCGGAAGACTTTCACCCGATCGCCGGATGACGAGCGGCGCGGCTGCTCAAGGTTGCCCCGCGCCGCCGAAAGTCGTGATATTCTTTTTTCCGACGCACACGCGCGCCGCGTGCTCTTGTGAAATGGCGTTAACCGAGGGCGCACGCACGCACGCATGCAAGCACGCACGTATGCAATGGGCGCGCGCGAACGCGCACGTCCTCACGCACTCGCGCGCGTCTGCATTACCACACGCGGCCGTGACCCCGGCGGTGTCAGGGGGAGGGGGGACTTCTTTTTTACCGGAGCATCGGGAGCATGCACGAACGATTTCGACGGCGATACTGCTACGCACCGCGGCGACGCATCTCCCGGGTCGTTTCTCGACGAGAGGAAACGTCAGACGGCGACCTTATTAACGCGCTTATACTTTGCGCGGCGAGCGAGAAGAAACGAACCGAGACATAATTGTTATGTATATACGAACATTTCGAGCTCCACGATATAGATCGACGAAGGATCAAATCTCCTCCCCCCCGCTTTGCAAAAAGAAATCATTTTGATACACGCAATTCATTCGAACGAGAATATCTCCGGTGTTTCATCGTCGAGAGCAGATCGATTCGCGCGAACACCCATCGGGGGGGACTGAATTCATTCGTAAATACTAAACGACTCTTCTCGGCGGACGCCGAGAAGGAAAGCGCGGTTTCGCGAAGGTCGTGAGCCATCGGGGACGAACGTCGGCGAGAACCAATATGGTGCTGCGTTCTCTTTCGATCATTCCACAAAATGGCCACGCGCCCGGCCCCACGTCGCGTGGACGGCGCGCCGCTGACGTCTTTCCCAGACGATGCTCCTCCTCCGGACGATTGACCGGCGCTTGTCGCGCGCGCGTAATTCGACTAATTTCGCGCGATCGGCGTGAGATGGTAACGCGATCGAACGCGGTCCGCGAGAGCGTGGCGAAACGAGTCCGTTCTTCGTCGCGAGGCCGGGCTGTAATACTTGGTGGCGCGCCGCGTCCACGTGGTAAAAGAGAGGAAAAGTCTCGAGAAGAGCCGATTTAACGAAAGTCGCGACGAAGCCGTGCGATAAAGCCGAGAAATCATGCGATATCAAATTTTTTGGAGATAACGGCGGATCGAGGGAAGAAGAGGGGAGGGTAGCGAGGGAAGAAAAAAATCCGAGCGAGCTTACCCAACGCACGCGCGGGGGGCCCGCGCCCGAGTAACTACGCGAGTTTGCGTGTGCGTGTGTGTGCGTGCGTGCGTGCGTGCGTGCGTATGTGTGCGGTGCCAGATTTCGGTGGCCATATTTGAGAGGCCTTCCTCCGCGCGCGCGGCCGCGATTCCGACGCATTATACATTATGCGCACGATATTATCGAAGCGGTTACTGCGCGCCACGTATGGGTTCGCGCGCATGCAATTTACAAATCTAATGAAACAAATAAGATAAGTAAAGCGGACGTCGTCGCGAATGCGCGCCGTTCGCTGATCCCCCCGTCTGTCGTCGCGCGCCGCGCGACACGTCCTCGCCTTCGGCTCGGCTCGTTTCGCGCCGTGTCGCCTCGCCTCGCCTCGCCGACAAGATGTCGGGGACCACGTTGTCACCAAGGTGCCCCGCCGCGACCATCTTCGACCTCACGGTCGGCCGAAAGGTGCAGCGGGGAAATGCCCCCGCTGAACGGAAAAGAAATGAAATTCGGACGTACATCTCTCACGCGGCAGCAGGGCTCCGCTCCGTTTTCGTTCCGCTCGTCTTCTTCCGCTCCGAACGTGTTTCCGGCACTTCACACTACTATTTCGCTACCTTTTCGAACACGCGACACGAATTACTCACACTAGATCGAAACTCGTTCCCCCGGGACCGAACCGAGAGGCTGAACTTTCCGAGAAACGCGGGAGGAACGAGACAGATGGATGTATACCAGGGGGAGAGAAAAGGAATAAAACGATGCGTGTATAGGGCGCAATTCGATTTAAAAAATATATATATGTACACAATTATATTATCGCGCGGAGGTTGTTACGTTGGAGTGTATAAAACAGACTGTAAAAAGGCGCGGCGAGAAGGTGTAATAAGCGTATTCGTTGCCTTGTGAGCGGTAAGAGTGATGCATAAGGAGCGCGTGAGTTGCGGGAAATAAAGGGAAGGCGTAGGAGAAAGAGAGAGAGATCCCGGGAGTTGAAAGTGGAGTGTCGAATCGATCTATACGGAGTGTCGCGTTTTTTGAAGGTGGGATAAAAAACGAATTTAAGAAAAAAAAAGTAGAAAAGTATAAAAAAAAAGGAAGGGACAGATTTGGGAGAAGAGAGCGGTGTAAAATGCGACCGGCTAGCGCAGCACGTGCTGGCTACTGAAGGCCGTCCGGTCCCCTCGGCGACGATGGAGGACTTCCTCCCTCCTCCTTCCTTCTCGCCGTTCCTTCCAGCGCCGGTCCACCGGTTAATCCACCAAGCTTCGTTCGTCATCGGCGGCCCGTCGGCCATTTTCGCGCAATCGCGTCACCGCGTCCGCCTTGGTCTCTCTCTCTCGACTCGGCACGGCTCGGCTTGGCTCGGCTCGGCATGGCTATGGCATGGCTTGGCATGGCATGTCTTGGCTCCGATTCGCCTCGCCTCGCCTCGCCTCGCCTCGCCCGCCTCACCCGTTCGCCAAGTTACCTACCTACCTATACCACGCGATCGTATCATAGCGCAGAAAATAGACGAGAGGGAATCGCGGGACCTTCGGGCGTCCGTAACGGTCGTCGAAAGAATTCCGATTGTTTAGACGACGCGAGATGCCAACGATGATTTTTCAAAGCGAAGTAGGACATGAAAGGAGGGAAGAAAAAAAGAGACGACTGTATCGATTATTTTCGCCGAGGCTCAAACTCGTGTGTCAGCGGATCGCGAACCTGAAGAAGTATCCTTCCCCGCGCGAGAAATAAATTGCACGGCTCATTCGTTGCAAAGATTCCCTTCGTTCCTTTGTGTCGACGTCGATATCTACATGCTGTTCGCCTCTTAAATAAACAAGTCTCCCCTCGAAGAACGTGTCCAGGACGCGTTCGTTGCTGCGCACGTGAAGACGCGAGGAAATTATACAAACAACTGTGCCGTCGTCTTACCCTTTTTCATTTTGCGTTCCTCGTTAAAGGCCGAAGTGCAAATTTGCCGATGTTCAAAATTCAAATAAGAAGAACTTTGGTAAACAAGAGTGACTGCACTAGACAAACATGTATCACACCGAAGTCACGTGGCACTGAAAATCAAACGACGCTCCCGATGACGAAACCAGGCACTTTCGATTTTTCGAAGATCAAGCCAAGTAAAAATATAAAAATTGACGATCGCGTACGATTTTATAATTTAAATAATCAAAAGACGAGCACTCGAGAATACGAACAAATAATTTAAAATTTTAAACCTAACGCAATACAAGCCGCGTGGCGCTTTTGTCCGAGCAACGGTCCGCGGATTCGAAAAACGAACGTTTTACAATTTTCGCGGTCCTCGCGCCGTTTATCTCGACGTTTAATTCGTTCGCCGGTGAAAAAAAAAAAAAAAAAATGAGACGCGGCGATGAGGCCGCGCGAATTTGTCCAGAGCGGCGACAGGCAACTTTGTGAAACCCCCGGCACGCTGCACGCGACGACTCCGACACTCTCCCTCGTGGTTTTTGGAGGTTAGGTCAAGCTAGGTTACGTCAAGTTAGGGTTTTTCGAGGGTGCCCTCTTCAGAGCGAGTGCCGAGATTTACCGACGCCGACGCAGAGAGTCCTGCAGTGGCACGTGAGCGCGCGCGCGCGGGAACATTTCGTGGGGTTGTCTTTCCGGTCAACGTGTTTCGGAATGTCGGACTCTTATTGACGATCCTATACAGCCTGAAACTGCTAAAGGGATGCAACCCTCGAATCGACTCCCGATGTCGATTTAACGCAACGCGGTATTATTGCAGTATTTGCGCGATCGACGCTTTTTTTTTTTTAAGGACATACCTTATTAAATAAATATCAAATAGCGAGAACGTCAAAAACGCAATGCCTGTTCGATTCCAACGAACTGAAAATTCGCGTGCTTATTTAGAAAAGCGCAGTCGAAACTTTACCGTCCGTTATCTCGGCGTGCTATCGCGTATAACCGCGGCGCAAAGTTCAAACGAGCGAAACGAGTGGCAGTTTAGCACTCAAGAACATTCTCTTTCAGTAATTGCATCGCGTTTCTTTATTAACGAATATAATAACCATATGCTCACTCGCGATAGCGTCAGATATCTCGCGCAGATATCGCGAGTGAATTTCCAATAGCGAGGGAATTTCCAATCGCGAGTAAAAAAGAGAAGGAAAGAGAGAGGACGGTTGACGTATGTATCTTTGAGTAAACTCGTTCAAGGCCTGCGCGCTCGCATAAGCGTAACCCGAGCCCGAAAGCCCCGTTCGCGCGTGTGATGTCGAGAGATATGGTGCTTTATTTCAACCATCCCCTCCTCTCTCTTTCTCTCTCTCTCGCAGAGGCAAAATTTCAAACTATTTTATCATTTAATATAATAGCTTACGTATGATTATATTTTGCATCTGTAGGCGGAGACGCGCTGAGATTTCTAAACAAAGCAGACTCGATAGCAAAGCAGATCGAGTCAGTGAAGCGAATACGAAATTGAAAACGTGTGGTCGATGAAATAATTTCCGAAGACAAAGCCCGTTCGGACATTAAAACAGCGTCGACGATAAAAACTTTCTCAAAACACTCACCGTCTGACGGTTTCTGCTGTATCTCGTTCCTAGGATGCACCACCTCCGCTTCCGTTTTCTCGCCGGCCGCGTCGCCGTTCGTCTTCTGATGATGATGATCCGCCGTCTGATTGTGCACGGGCGTGGGAGTGGCGCCGCGAGAGCCGAGGCTCTTCTCCCGGGTCTTCCTCTCCTTTTCTTTGGTATTCGAAGGCAGCTCGGTAGCGATGGGTTTCCTCCTCGGCGGCGAGTTCGACGAAGTTTTCGACGCGAGATTAGGGAACGGCTCCCTAGTAGGAACGGGATTGGCGCTCGAGGCAGTGGCGGACGGTTGTTTCGGGACATCGATTGCAGCCACGGCGCCGGCGGTCCCGACGGCAGCCTCGGACGACTCGATCTCGGCCGTCACCGTCGCCGTCACAGCCGCCGTTTCAGTGTTAGCAGTCGGCGCGGCGAACTGTACGGAAACAGTATCTTTATTCGCGACGGGTACCACCGAGGGTACAACAACGGGTGACGATTCCTCGATCGTCACGCTCTTAATTTCACTCCTCGGCTGAAACTCCTTCACGGGGAGCTGCAACGCTTTCGACTCCGTTTTCGGCGCGCTCGAGTCGATTTGCGTCGCGTTACTACAAGCACCTAACGATTGACTACTTATCGTAGGTACCGTTTTGCCAGCGCCAGCGCCGGCTATATTTTTCGTCACAGGCGGACTACTGCTACACTGACTATTCGCGTCATTAGAATTGTTTTGAATATTTGACGTTTGCGCCGTTGTTTGTATTGGGTTAGGCGCCGTTTCGGACGCGCTCGTCGATACCGTGTCGGACCCCTCGGTCGCGGCCTTTGCGACGCGAGCCGCGAAATCGGCTATCACCTCTGCACCATTATTCTGTAACAATCACCAAATCTGCGTGATAGACGGTGGCACGTGCTATTCATTCAGACATTACGCTTCGTAACTAAAAACTGGCTCCAAACTCAAATCATAGGGCGAGAGAAATCAAAACAAAAGCACTTGGACAAACAAAATAAATATTCAAGACTTTACAAATCTGTCACCCCCCACAGCCATTCAATCCTCGCTCGTAGCAATACGTATACCGAGCAAAAATCAGAGAAAATAGTAATTGATATCAAATTGTGATATCAACTTCGCGACGACAAACGTCATCGCGAAGTTTTTTTTCTCTACATTTATTGAATCTCCGGAATCACTAATCGATCAATTTTTCAATTTTTTTTTTATTTGACAGCGCTATTTTTCAGCACTTGACAATTTGCTAGAGGACATCGGCTCACGTGGGTGTACAGATATAAGTACAAACAATTGGCTATGAGAGTTTGTTTCAAATATGTACATAATTCTTGTATTGGACAGTTGAGTAGTTACCGAGCACAGGTACTCCGACGCTAAACTCTCTTAACCAATTGTTATTACATTTCGATGTAACTCACCTGTGGTTGTGGCGTCTCGCGATTACTGGATTCACCACTCTGCGTAGTTTCGTTATCCTTGTATATCTCATCGGATATATTTTTACCCGTCGCCGGGTTTACTATATCCAAAATGGCGTTCTGTCCTCTAGGTTTTCGAGACCTGGTGGTACTGTTCGTATTCGTCGCACCACCATTGTGTCCCGAGTATACGTCTTTAAAAATAAGAATACATCCAATTTAGATTACAAAAGTCCTGTTCCGCAGAAAAAAAAATAAGACAATTAGCTCATGAATATACATGTATTATTCTATAGTGCTCTAGCTTTGCATTCTTTAGCTCTATTTGGGTCAAAGAGATAAAACATGAATAACGACGTATATTAGGCTAAATGTCAAGTAGATCTGAGAGCAACGCACCAGTCTGTGACAGAGGTATACCCATCGGGGGCAGAGGCTGCGCTTGCTGGGCCGGCTGCTGCAGTGAACCTTGTGGTACAACCGGAGCACCTTGAGTCGCGGCCAGCGGGCCTGCGACGTGTTGAGCCCCACCACTGATCGTATTTGAGCTAGCCCGCGTCAAACTCATGTTTGACGATGTGTAATAATCTGTCGAAAAATATGACGTGTCAACATGTAACTCGAATTGTAAGCGTAGTTGATGCAAAAACGTGAGTCGTAGAGAAACTTACACGCGCCAGTCTGAGGCGCGGCCGCGTGATGATATTGGAACACATTTGGCGTTATTATTTGAGGGTAATGATGTTGCTGTGGAAAATGGTATTGATTTTGATGCGGCTGGTGCCTTTGAGGTGGACCAGAGAACTGAAAACAAAGAGAGAAAATTTGTTTACATTTTTATTCGAGACTGAATGTACCCTCGAGAGAGTATATTTCGCACAGGTGAAGACGAGAGAGCGATGCACAATTGCACATAGAAATATAAATATCCAATGTAATATATATATGTAATTAGTACCTGAATAGGAAGTTGATTCGTATTCATTGGATACACCGCTGACTGCTGAGGCGGAAGACCATGGACTTGACTTTGACTTGTGAGATACACATTCTGTAAACTGGCCGCCGTCAAACCTGCAGGATACAGGGGCGGTTGCCCACCGCTTCCACCCACGCCCCCAGGCATCCCAACTACAGTGTGTCCAGTCGCCCCTTGGCCACTTCTGTGACTGATACTTCGCGGTTGTTGCGGTCTTGGCGTTGGGCCATAAAAGGTGTTCTGCACACAGAAGATCGACGAGAAATTTGTAGAGATCGGTTTAAAAGTTAAACAAAAAAAAATTTCTCTTCATTACAAATACCAAACGCCATACCTGACCCGGTCTATTTTGCGTTGGTACGTAAACTGGTGGTAGAGACGGCGGCTGCGTCTGCAAGTGGGCCTGCTTTCCCATTTCCTGAGGCGACGGTGTGTGCACAGGTGGTGTCGTAGTAGGCGCTGGACCTTGCGGCGGTTGCGATTGCACTCCCGGTGTCGGGGCCTGCGACGGGCCCGCTTGCGCTCCGGCGGGACCTCCTGGTGGTATACCCGCTGCAGATTGCCCTATCGTCTGTATGCCGCCGAGCGGCGGAGGCCCTCTACCCGTGGGTACTCCTACATTACTCGCGGCGCTTCCGCCCACCTGGCTCCCTGGCTGGGCGCTGTAAGTCCCATGAAACTCCGATCCTGAAAAACAAAGAGATTCGTAACTTATTACGTCCGCCATTTGTTTGCAACAACTGCGTAATCATCGAATTCACACGAGTTGTCGCTATCTGAAAATGCACACGACCAACCGTGTTTGTTCACGTTTTATAGTACAATAAATACACGTGTAAAACGGTAACTCGCAAGGCCAGTAACTACTCTCGCGAAACGAAAACACGTTCTCCGAAAGGATATTCATACACCTTATGTAACTTATTTTTATTTGAATGTATGTATCTCTCTCGCGGTGTTGTAACCTGCTCGCAATTTTCGATATATAAAATACGCAACAAATATGTAAATCAATGTTGTTATTCGCATGATATTCGTAAAATAAAGAATATCATGTGAAAACTAACACCGAAGATCACTTCTCTTGTTATTTAATTTCGTCTATCTCCTCCATTTAAATATCCTTTATTAAGCAAATGTTACAGCGAGTGTTATCGCTTCGAACATTGACGCGAGATGCGTACATCGGGAAGTCAGAATATGAGTCACATTATGTTTTAGATCGATTTAATCTTATTGCGATTGGGGATGACGTGACGTGTCTTAGATTATACCGCTAAAAATTGAGGAAGAAACTCGCATATGCCAATATACATATATATTATATAATAAAAGTAGATATTTATCTTACGCATTTCTAGAACATGTAAAATCATTGCCATTTCACAATAATTGTCACATCTCCCATAAATATAACATTAAAATACACATTTAAAAAAAAAACAGCTGTCATATAATAAAACTCAAATAATTTATAATAATCTTAAAACGTCACTTCGGAAAAAAAGGGGCAATGAAGCGAAACCAGTCGCTCGACAAGAAAAGCACCCAATCTCTTGCGAACTAATGAGGAGCAAGGCGTCAACTAATCACGAGCTTACGCGACATAGATAAAGTAGGGTACGGATGGGCACCCCGAAACGGCACGTCGCGACCAATCTCGATAACGTCGACAGCCCGAACGCCTTCGCCTTCGTCCCGCCCCCGTTTTCTACGTCGTTACCAATTAGTAATTACTCGCGAAAGATGAATACGTGTGCGACGTGTCCGGCGTTGGCACGAAACGTTGACGTCAACGTTCCCCGTCGGATCGCCAGGAGAGAGAGAGAGAGAGAGAGAGAGAGAGAGAAAAAATCCCGCGGGTAATCCCGCAAAGGGGGGAGATTAAGCGTTCTCTCGCAGCTCCCCGCGGCCTCGGAGGCGAGGAAGTAGTCTCGATTCGACAAACTTACGGGGACGGACACGCTTCTGCCGTTTTCCTCCTCCGGCGTTAAACGAACGCGCTGAGACAGTGTGGGAAAGACGGACGCGGGTCCCGTGTCGAGGAAAAATATGGGATCGTTTTCCCCCCCGTACATGTTCGTCGTTGCTCACCGTCGTTGCGTGATCGTCCGCTCAGAACTGCTCCTTTCCTCGCGAGGCGCGCGTGTCCGCGCGAAACGATACCCCGGACGACGGCGTGTCGTTAGGAGAGCGCGACGCTGAGGGCGCGACAGCGAGTCTCGAAGAACGTGGGCAAACGCACCGACGGCCCGACCTCGCGGACGGCCATCTTTGCACATGTGGGCAGGGGCCGGGGCGCAGTGCCGCCATCTGTCGCACCGCGGCGGCATCGATTCCGACGGCTCCGTCCAGGAGCGACCTCGCCGGAAACGCGCGCCACTCCGTCAACTAGCAATTTCCAGCACGCGTTTTCACGTTGTTATTACACGTTCTCGACCATGAGATGCTCTCGCCCAAATAAGACTACGATCCGGGGCGTCGATCTCGCGAACAACAAATCCGAGAGGAAGCGCGTTTTTCCCACACACCTTATTATTAATCTTCCTAAAATAGCTTTTACATTCGAAGGAGACGAGCTTCCCCGCAGAGGCAAGCGTTTTGTTGCGCGGACGAAAATAATTAGCAAATTTTTCACACGATACGAGAAAGGCAACCCTTTTTTCCTCTCGTGTCACGCTGGCGCGATCACATGAGCGTCACACGGACAGCGGCGCGAGGGGATCTCGTCATGTCGAGATCTACCCGCATCGTTCCGCGCCGAGTTTACACACATACGCTCGGGGAGGAAAGGAGGACGGGGGGCCTACGGGAGCGCGCGATCGGGAATGCGAAGTGCCGCGCCTGACCTCCTCGCCGATACGTCATTTCCGGAGATGAATGACGTATGCAGGTCTCTCACACCCCACCCTGCACCGAATCGCCGATCCCCCTCGGCGCCGCCCGCTGCTGGTGGACGATGCGCCGCGTCACGGCCGCGTCACGCCGCGCGCTCGATGCAACCGCGCGGAGCGGAGCGCTGCGCTGCGCAACGAGACGCCCGATAGACTTTGACTCCGGGCGACGACGTTAACGAGCCTTAAACGCGGCCGATCGGAAGCGCTACGGCACTGCGCGAAAGAGAGGACGCTCGAGAAGCCCGTGTTGGTGGGTTAGGTTAGGGTTAACCTCGCGCCGCTCGGGGAGCCACGTGGCGCGCGCGCGGCATCGATGTCATCAGCGAAGAAACGACGAGAGAGATCGCCCGTGGAAACGCGGGCCCGCGTCGCAAGTCGTTCTCGCAGCGGGATCGCCGAGGGGGCGCCCCGCCCCCCTGAGATCTCGCATATCATTCGTATTTTTTTTCTGCTCCGAGGATTCAACCTCGCGAACGTAACGTACGACCGACGGTCGATGTCACGTGATAACGGGCGATCTCGCGGAGTCGCGAGGCGGAAGCTCGACGCGCGCCGCCGTAGGTCGATTCGTCAAGGATAGACGCGTTACGCTGTTCGCGCTGTGTGTCTTCGCGTCATTAATCATGCTTCGTTCAGTAATATTATTTCCACCCGATCGTTAAGTACTTCCACCGAACATGCCTATTTCCTTTCCACATTTCCGGATTTTTCAACAAGAAAAATTTCTCTCTCTCTCTCTCTCTCTCTCTCTCTCGAAATCTCATCCGCGAAGAATTTGCGAGGAAAATTTAAAAATTCTAGGCTATTTTATTGGAATGTAATTACTTTCAACAGAGCACAACCTGTCGCCGCACGCGTCAATGACGCACGCGGTTGCGTGTAATGACGCAACTTCGGAGATAACGTTTCGAAAGAACGAAATTATGACAATTACGTTCCGGCTTATCGCGAGGACACCTCCTATTTAAGTGCCGCCGTACGACACGAGAGAAGAATGGGAGACCGCACGTGTTAGTAACGATTACGTTGATAACGCGACTTTGACGATAACGTTTCGAAAGACCCAAATTACGACAATTAAAACGTTTCCGGCTTATCGCGAGGACACGTCGTACATTCAATGTGCCGTCTCTTGACGCGGGGGACAGAAAGGATGAGAAGAATGAGAGATGGAAATTGGGACGTATCGCACGAAGGGAAAGGATCGAACGTGTACCTTCACGACGAGGCACAAGGTGGAAAGCGTTTTATCGATTGACCTATATCGCGAATTGTCTAAAGCGCCGTCCAGGGGCGCTAAGAACTAACCTAAATAGCAAGCCGTCCCGATATATCGATATATCCGCATACCAGGAAAAACGCCCGACTGCGCTGTGTTTTTCTAATGAAATTGAAAGAAAAAAGAAATTTGAATAAACCAACGGACTCTCTCTCGTACGTTTTCCAGCGCGTATATATATCAGCCACACGCCCTACTCCAGACTTTCGAGATTCGAGACTCCGATTATTGCCGGACAGAGAAAGCACAGATAACGACTAAATAAACAATAGTGGAAAAAAATACGGCATTCCCCGAAAGGAAGTTGATCTAAGCGACGCGCTTCTACAAAACCCAGGAGCGAATTAAAATCGATGCTTCGGGATATGTTATCGTTTTAACGTGACAGCGGCATTGTGCTCGTCCTCGCGAAGGAGAGGAAGAGAAGAGAGAAAGGACACGACGCGGCTTTCGAATCCGTGAGTCTGCAAATAGACACAAATGATTCGACTCTTGACAGATAGGTCACCGGGTCAGATTAACTACCCCCCGGTTCGCGCTCGAAAATAACGCGCCTCGCGCATCATTCCGCTCCGTGATTGCGCGCACACTCTCGCGCCGATTATTCGGCGTCCGTGTTGGTCGCGCAAGATAAAAAAAACACACACACAAAAAAAAAGGAAAGATTCAACGATCGTGATAAGTGACGGGACACCCCGCACAGGCCGCTCGTTTCTCGCAAAATTACGTTAGCGCAGGTCGTATCGCGGAGTCAAGGACGAGATCCTACGGGAGAGGATCCACATACGTACCGAGAAAGCGGAGTCGGAAAACAGTAAAATAAGTATTACAAATAATAAGCAGAGAAGCGAAAGATGGACTGTGCTACCATCGTCGGTCGTGTGGGTCTTCATGTTCCACGATGGAGCAAGTCAATATACGGCCGCGTTCGCAAAAACGGCACTTTTTATCATCGTCGCGCGTGAAATCTGAGCATGCAAAAAGAAATCGTGTGTTTCGGGTCGGAGGCTACGTATCAAAGAGATCGAGAAGACTGCGCAGATTAGAATTTGATCGGCGGACAATCGGGGGAATATAAAGCACGTGCCAAGATTAAAATTATACCCGATCGGGCGCGAAAATCTCGACTCTCCAATGCGTAGCCGGTTGGACGTCTGTGGTGCCTGTGGTCCGATTGGAAATCGAACGAGAAGCTGTGCCTCGATGCGTCGCAGCGAAAAAAAATCAAACGAGAGCGTGAATCGAGTCTAATGTGTATGAGAAGCTCGAATTAAAATAAGACCAAGCTATACACACGTCGCGGTAGGTGGAGACGCTTCGAAACTGTGAATCTCCAAACATGTCTCATTTTGCGGCGCCGTGTTATCGTTCACGTTGTGTCCGCATTATCAGCAATCCGCGTGCACGCACACGGTCCTATATTTAAAACGCACTTGCTACAATCGAAGTCAATTCTCACGATACAAAAAGAATCCTCGTAAATTAATTATCCCTCCAAAGATTTTGAGCTA